CACACCCTCAATGCCCTCAATGGAAAGGAAAAAGGGCCGGGGGCTTCGCCCCCCCCCCCACCTTTCCTCCTCCTATTGTGTAGTCAGACAAAGGCGTGTTTACTACTGCTAGTGTTTAGCACGGCCATGGGCGCCTACGTCGGCTCTTGTGTTCTGCCCATCAGAGTGGGGGGGCAGGGGGGCTCGGGCCCCCCCACATCACCCCCATCCCCCCACACGGCCCTCGGTCCTCCCTCGGTGTCCTCGAAATAAAAGGAACATTAAGGGGAGCTTCGCCCCCCTCTGCTTCTTTCCCTCCTCCGCTTATGTGAACCAGTTGACATGTGCGCGTGTGTTATAAAAGCGCAGTTATGGGCGCCACCTCGGTTCTTGTGTTCTGCTCATCAGCATGAGGGGGGCTCCGTCCCCGTCACATTGCCCCAACGTCCTTGTGAAAAGGTAAATGGTGGGGGAGAGGAGGGGCTGTACTCGATGTTCATGCTAGCTACCTTGTACTTTTGATAAGGGAACTTAAGCAAGGCTTCAGCGCCCTTCCGTAGTCGTGCCAATGGTTTCAACTCCAACATGGGCGAGATTAAGTCTGGCAACTTAGCCTCTTAGCTCCCCGGCCCGATCTTGCACTAGGGCCAGCTCCGTGGTCTCCCCAAGAGCCCCAGCTAGATGCCACCGTAATCTTTCGCAGAAACATACCGATCCTTGGATACATGCTCAGATCCGTGTAAGAGAAAACGCATGGGGAAGTACATGCCGTACAATTTCAAGACGGGTTCAAGACTCAGAGTCTTCTTTCGGCCTCTCAGTTGACTAGGCTAGCCGCCCCATGAATTGTCTGATCAACGCATGATCTAATTGACGGGATGAAAGAATATCTTGCAGAGCAATTCGATCGTGCACGGCGGACTTCGTTGAGTGCCTTGAGCCGAATATGTGAGCTTATATACATCCATCGGCTATGCAAATTTGGTGCAATCGATTAGGTTGGACACAATATTGTACCTGCCTCGATCCGCTCTAAGTTATAATTTCCGCTAGCTCTTCGTGCCTGTGTAGCTGACCAAGGCCGGCGCTTCTAGGCCCTCACCGCGTTACATGCTGTAAATCATACGATGACATATGTGTCAATCAAGATCGAACGCGTCAATATCTCGACAAGCTTCTTCTAATGATGTTTAGAATTGCCAAACCTTTCAGTGCCTGCGTCTGTCATGAACTTGAATGAAGCTTGAAGCTGTAGAATCAAGGGCCACAGGATCATACCTCGGAGAACTAATGTCGACAGGCCAGGCCCGGGTTTGGATGCTAACCGCGAGCACATCATGGCCGGAATGGAATTGAAGGCATCGGTCATCTCGCCCTTGAACATGCAGACTCTCAATGAGAGTGCTAAAAATGGAGCGCACATCTACCGAGTCCGAAACACCAGTGGCATGCATAGTTGGTGATTGAACCGGGCCCGGAGACAAAAACCAACAGAATGGGCTCCCTTTCAATTTCAACACTAACTGATGTGGCAGATTAAAGAGGACGGTCGGCTGCATGTCCGACTTTTAATTATGCCGACCTGGGCTACGACGTTTATTCTAGCCAAACACAATCATTTCTAGCGTCTGTACACGTCATTTTTTTCTACATAAACGCGCCCGCCCCCTCGTCCTCGCCTCCGTCGTCCACGTCGTCTCCCTCCTGCCCCTCGTCTTCCTCCTCTAGTTCGTCTTCTTCCGCATCGGGGTCCAACCCCTGCGCAAACAGCGCACGATTTTAGGCGACCAGTTACGAAACTGGATGCACGTGCTGACTCTCCGGAAAGTCGTTTCGTTGTAGCGCCTCACCTTCCTCCTCTGGCTCTTCTTAGCTTTCGTACCATCTCTAGTACTTGACCCAAATACTTCCAAACGCAGTATCCTGCCGACTTGCCCAGCATCCTTCTTTACCCGCCAATAATCTCTCGGCAGCCCAACAGAAAGCAGACCCAGTACACACAACACAGAACACGGAACACAAAACACAGATGAAAAACCGCAAAGTCCTCCCTGACCTTCATGAGATTTCTATGCGCGCCAGCCCCATCAGAGTTTCAGCCCATCAGCAACCCCAATACAAACCTCAAAAATCAAACCCAATTTTCCAATGCCACAACGTCTGTGCAAAACCTCAAAACCCAAACCCAAATTCTATCCCTCCCCCCCACCTTCATGAGCTTTTCTAGACGCGCCAGCCCCGCCTGCGCCTCCTTGCTGCGCGGGTTCATCGCGAGCGCGATCTGGAAGTGCGACAACGCCTCGCTGTGCTTGCGCTGCGCCATGAGCACGCCCGCCAGCCGCGAGTGGACCGAGTCCTTCTTGTGCGTTTCCAAGTGTCGTTGTAACCTGCAAGCGAGGTATTGATTCAGCCTGTCTTCGTTGAGCATCATCATCAACTTGAGTTGCAATCAGCTTTGATGAGGTGTTAGTCGACCGGTAGCTAAAACTGCGCGTTAACCAAGTCCTTCTTGTGCGTTTCGAGATGGCGTTGTAACCTGCGAGTTAGGTATGAATTCAGCTTCTCTTTGTTTCGCATCTTCGATTTGAGTTGCTATTAGTCGACAGGTAGCTTTAATCGCGCGTTAAGTGGGTTCTTCGTGTGCGTTTCGAGATGCCGTTGTAACCTGCAAGGTAGGTGATTATTCAGCCTCTCTTTGGGAAGCATTGTCGATTTGAGATGCGAAAGAGTTTGTGGGCATCTCCAAGGGTGTACAGGACATCGAGATGCCAGCTGGCAACCCAGTTCCCGCTTTTGCGGATCGCTTGGGGGGTCCTTGCTCTTGACACCGCGCTGCTGGTGTGCCAAACGTCGCTTGTCGGAAAACTGGAATTTCTCGTCAGGCAACCCTTTGAATACAAGCCAAAGCTTCGATAGACTGGAGTCTGTAAGAGGGCTGAGAGCGATCAGACCCTCCTAGCAGCTTCAAAAAGAAACGTTTGCAAGCGCTTAGAAAGCATATTCCGTTAGGCACAGCAAAGGCAGCAGCGACGCCCGCCTTTACGAAAGAGGGTAGTGTGGTTCACTTAAAGGTCCGTTGCTTGTTTTTCTAAGAAAAGTCGTCCTTCTCGCTGGCATAACTTCGACAAAACTCAAAGCGATGAAATCTGTGACAGGGTTAGTAGTATTCGAAACCTTCTAGCAGCATCGATGCGCATTAAATCCGAGGAAGCGGAAAAAGGAGCTGTGTAAGGCACAGCAAGGGCAGCAACGACAACCACCTTCACCGAAAATACTAATTGAAGTCACTTACAGCTGTTGTGCGTCCCCTAGTCGGTCCTGCATTTGGTACAGCTCCGCCAGGCCCAGTATCGCTTCCAGGCACTTGGGATCCACCGCTAGCGCCCGCTCGAACTGGGCGTGGGCCTGCATTAGGTGTGACCGGAATGAGCGACCTTCGTCCGATTCAAGTGGCGTCAAACATTGGCAGATTGCTTGAGAAACGCTGTAGCTGAAGGAAATACTCAGCAGCATTGACGTTGTCCGTGGTTTTGCAGGTCACCCGCCTTACGTTGGATGACCGGGCGCTGTCTTGATAGAGACGATTGTCCACACTGAAATAGGGAGTGGGAGGCTGTAAATTTCTCGGTCCCCTCGCACCCCCACGTTCGCGATCGCAAGACCCAGAATCAGACCCTTCGCTCCTGTTTCTAAAAGTGGGTCTTGCGTCTACATCTGAAGTGGACTCTACCTATTGCTGTCAAAGTGGGCCCCCCCTTATGCAGCCGCTGCAGCTAAACCGGGGGCGAGGGCATACGTCTCTTACTGCAAAGGGTGTACACGCGTTGCGCCAGGGGTTATCGAGATGAACGAAGTGGCCCTTACCCGTTGTCCCTGGTCTAGGTGCATGTACGCAACGCCCGGTAAGCACACCGCCCGCGCGGAGCCCGGCATCGCTTTCGCGGCTTCCTTGGCGACCACTAGCGCCTCCTTCGGCTTGGCTACGGACAGGGACGCTTTGACTAGACCTGAACGAAGAGAAAACGGCACGGGCTATATCTGTATGAACTTGCTATAAGACATTGTAGCTCCAGCGATTTGAAGATTCTCCGTAGTAAGCCAACGTTTGGATTTAAGTACGTTCGAGAGAGCTTTCAAAATCTGCACGGCGATCAGAAGTCGTTTTCAGCCAGCTGGTTCTCAGCGAGCGACGTTCGGCCAGCGCCCACGTGTTCAGAACACAGGGTCAGAAGAGAGGACCCTGTTTCAGTTGCGTGTGTGGAAAGAGGTGAGTCGCACAAGTGGCAAAAGACCCCGTCGTAGCAAAAGTCCTCCTGTTCCCTCGAGGCTGGGCTAACCTGAAAGTTACCCGGGGCCAACAGGAAAGGCATCAGAACCTCTGTACTTCGAATTCAGGTCGAAAGTCAGAGGTCCAAAATTCGGACAGCACCACTCTATAACCGATGCCAAGAGCTGCTCTGATCGGCAAATTTTTCCTTTCCGCCAGTGCGAAACTACACAAAGCTGAGAAGGTTTTCAACTTCAGATTTGGATCAGCTGTAAGAGAATTATCAACCGGATCCAGCTGCAAGGCGCGGCAACGATTCTCACCTTCAAAGCCCTGCAAAGTCGGGTCAAGTTGAAGGGACCGCCGAAAGGCCGCGACGGCGGCCTCCGCTCTACCCATAGAGAGACACAAGTTACCCTGCAGCGAAAAGCCCAGAAGTTTGTCAGTAACGAACGACGACGGAAATGTTGATTCGTACTTACGCAAAAATCCCCCTGTACCATCCCTGAGTCCTCAGTTTTTCACACAATAGGAGAGACTCCTCAGATTGCATGCAAAACGAGCTCTGAAGCACTCCAAGAGCCCGATCGACGTCAGTCGTCTTTTGAGGGTGTCAGATTTGAATTTGTTCTTGGATGAACAAAAGACGCTGCGACGTCGGGGAAAACAATATACCACTGGTCGCATATACAAACGCAGAAAACCTGCAGGAACTTAAGAGCTTTCATCCGACAGGGGAGCCTCTGAAGCTTATGCTCCGCAACGTTGATTCTTAAGTTCCGTTCACAAGGTTCTGTCTGAAGCGGGGCAATGCAAAGGGAGTGCGCAAGACGACGTACCCGTATATAGTACGCCAGCCCATGTCGATCGTTCGCCTTGATCGCCTGCACAAAAGAAAGACGCTTGTTTACAATCTTACTTTCGTCTTCTGTCAACCTCAGTCCAACAACTGCAGACCGCATATCTGAAAACACACGTAGCATTCCGCTCGCTTCTCTTACCGCAGATTCCCCTCAGCTACTCTGATTAACCGCTCTTTGCACCAATACCGCTCAAGAAACCAACGCATATGCTTTTGACCAACTCTCTTGTCACGTCACTGACGTAGAGACGAGGAGCATATGCCATCAGCAAGACTGGTGAAGCGGACAAAGGTCCGTGCTACAGTGATGACGTCGTCAGCGCCACGTCACCTTGTCTGCGTACGTCAGCGCCTTCGGCAGGTCCTCGCGCGCCTCCCAGAAGATGGCCGACGCCACCCAGCTCTCCGGGCACCGGTAATCCGTGCTCAAAAGCTCGTGGGTTAGCCTGCAGGGTCAACGTAAACTGTGGTCAAAGGAGGGAAGCTGATTCAGGAGGTCGTGTGTAAATCTACTAGGGGATCGGTACTCAGCAGCTCTTGGGTTAGTCTGCAAAACCAATATAGAAGCGTGCCTCAGAAAGGAAACTAGCTCAGGAGATCGTGTGACAGGCTGGTTAGGTTTTCCTTCACCAGCAGCAACTTACGTGGGGCAAATTATTTTATCGACCTCACTTTGAAGGAATCTTAACGTGGATATGTTGACAGAAGAGATACCCAGCGCTCGCTGACATTGGCAACTTTAACAGTCTCTCTCAGACGTACATCTGGGCAATGGCAAGGATCTACTATGAACCCCGCACTCAATCCACGAGCTCGATTGCACAGATTGACACTCCCTCAGCGGCATGGCGCAGCGATCCAAACTCTCGACCTATCTCGCAACCTCAGATGTGACACGATCCGAAAAATACGTAGATTCAAAGCCCAAAATTCCAGAAGCCATAGAAGCACGCCTTTGGACTCACTTGTTCAGGTCAGCAATCTCGCCTTGTGACCTCAGCAGAAACGCGTACCGGTCCATTTGCGTGAGGATTCCCGGGTCCATCAGCCGCACCTTTTGGTACGTCACGCACGCGTCAGAGACGGCGTCGGACGCTGCTTCAGCCTGTAAGACACGTGAAACCTGATTTGGACGTCCTTGCAACTAATTCTTCCAAGATTGTCGTCAGGTCAAGCACACAAGATCAGGGTGAAACGTCCTAGCCGCTAAAGACTCCGATTCTTAAGTTCGTATCTACTAACATATGCACGCTTACAGAAGGGGGTCGGAGAACGCTTTCTTTCGACAGGGAATAAAAAGCGAGGGCTTTGCTGGACGATAATTCTCGCTTCGGACGTGTCGAACTGCATCGGTGTACTGCATCCATTGGTCTATCCAATTTGACACGCACATATCGGAGTCAACGCCGAACGACGCGCCTTCCCTTACAAACCCAGGAGCCATGCGGAATCCGGTATGAATGACCCGTTCCAACGAGGGCTTTCACTAGATCAAAGGAAAGTCAGCGACACGCACAAGACAGCATCATTCGGCGTTATCGCATGGGGCGCCCTGTCATGAGCGCCATCGTAAGCAGGTAGATCGCCACGATTTGAGAACGCCTGGGGCACGGAAACTACAAATTCCCGGCTGTCCAACCGCGTGGTCACCAATTTTTAAGCATTCCGGATCGTCGATGGCTTCAAAAGCGAGAAAGCGGAGCAGAACTCTGTCCTACTAACAAAAGGCCTAAACCGGGCAGACCGGAGGCACTCAAGAAAATCCGGCCAATAGGGACTGAATGTTTGAGTGCGACAAACGCGGCGATCTACCTGAAGCACGTGAGCCTTGAAACGCAGCGGACTCGCCATGCATAGACGCATGGAAAGCACGGACGCTTTTTGAGCGCCCGTCGTTGATCATCTCGAGCATGGAGTGCTGCGGCCAACTTGGTTGCGGTAGAGACTCAAAAAAAGCAGAAACAGTATCGTGACAACAAGGCGAAGAATAGAACGTCCAATCATGACCTGCGTGAGCGTCCGCTTTTCGCATCACGACTTTGGAAGGTGCTTGTACAGATACGGAGGGAAGAACGAAACAAAGACAGGAGGTGAGAAGCAAATGGAACGAGCACGGAGCAAGTATAAACGGAAGGGACAACCTAAAGACAACGCTAAACGCAAAAGAAGAGGAGGGAAAAACGAAACGAGCGCCGCACCTTGGCCTGTTCGAGCATGAGGTGCTGCGCCCCGGGGAAGCGCTCCTGCAGCGCCCCCCAGTGGGCACGTGCCTTGCGGTGCTCGTGCGCCGCGGCTGCCACGTGGCCCTCCACGAATTGCTGCAAAGGAGAAATGAGGAGACTCTCGGTTCTAGAACCATAGGCGGTACGGGTGGGAATGTTCAGAGCGATGTTGGAATGGCGCTTAGAGTTGATTCGGTGTGTGAAGTATGTGATTTCGGGTAGAACTTCGATGGCCTTGCCTGGGGGAATGGCCCTGTCAAAGCAGCTTTGTATCAAACGTATCGAGAATCATAGGACGTGGAATAAGCGATTGATTGAAGACTGTCAGAGGCGGTGGCGGGCCTTCCAAATGAGACAAGCGATGAACGACGGCATTCGAAGATTCTCGGCAGCGGCGGTTCTCCGTGAAAACTTTCAACGATGCACCTTGCCCTCCCTTTCAAGCGGCGGAAGATCATTTCTGATCTCGCATCCCGTGTTTGTTATTTTTGAGGCCACACAAAGTCTTACAACCAGGACGCAGGCCCGAGCAGCGTAGATGGGCGGAGCTTTCATAGAACGTCCGACACCCAACCTCAACCGGTGAGATCAAGTCGGAAACCCTTCCCTATGCGGACCTAAAACCGCAAATCGCAGCGAACGTCCGACACCCAAACGACTCCAGGTACGCCCGGCGATCTTTACGCTCGATTGTCAGCCTCATGCTTTTAAGATTGAATGAAGTTTGATTTCGAAGCGGACGTCCAGCGGACCTGAAGCCAGAGAGCGGGGTCGAGCGGATCGGTCGAAAGATCGCGGGAGCCGAAGACGGGCGGGGGCGGCATTGGGAGCAGGTCCTGGATCTCGCGCGTCGGCGTGCGCAGCCGGGCGAGTGCCACGTGGCACTCCAACATGTACGGGCACTGCCTGCAGAAAGTGATGGGGAACGTCGATTTGAAGTGACATAACAAGACGTTAAAACGTTCACAACAATTCTGAGACTCTTATCATGACGTGGCAATGCATGCGGGCCGGTCGCATCTGCGTTGCAAGGAAGCAAACACGTCGAACTGATTAACTGCTTTTCAAAGTTCGTCGGTGTGCAGAACGGACGAATGTCAAACCACCAGGAGCTATGGACACGCGAAACCTTTGGGCATAGGAGCACAATCGAAGGTGAGTTCGCATCAATTTATTGCTCGTAATTTGTGCTGAGATATAAGTTGTCAATGAAGCAAAGTGAACCGTCAAATAATCACGGAGGTCATGTCATCAAGCTCTTTCATCTGTTGATCGATCGCAAAGTGCAATCAACATTAAAGAGCAGTGCGTTCGTCGATCCAAGGAAAGTGCATATTCACACAATCTGCAGTCTGGGCCTATTCGAACTGACTGAAGGTGGAGCTGAATTGCAAGGCGTCGTGTGGATAACTCATAGGCTGCACGGGGCTCACCTAAGGCACTCTCGGTGGCATGCAATCGCGGCCCTGCACAAGACGAAGAATCTTCATCGATACAACTGCCCGGGAGTTGGTCGAGGTTTGTTTCCGGTGTCTAGAACCCTTTCCAATCAAGCCCTGGCTCAAATGCCGGGCCAAGATTAAGGGCAGCCTAGGAATCGTGATGAAATGTTTGTCGTGCCTGTCCTTAATTGGCAACCCGGGGATTTGGGCTTAACCCAGAAGCCTAAGTCATGTGGGTGCACGAACTTGGTCGGGTAGACTCCCTGGATAGATCGTCCGCAACTTATGAACCATATCAACGCCCCCACTTCTCAGCAACCAGATTCGTGCACAAAGAGTTTCGCGATTGTCCCCAGCCACGCCACATTCCGGCGCACACAGGTTTGACGAGAACTCCAGGAACAGGGGACAACCAAGAGAGGGCAACGAAGGCCACCGCAACTTTGAAAGACGCCATTGTGGCGTCAAAGGGCAGGAAACGGCAGCGGTGCAGATTATCTATGGCCAGATGAGGTCGGTGTAAGGATAGATAAGGTGCCGGTCAAGAGAAAAGCCAACGGGAGAGAGAGAGCCCACCTGTCGTATCCATGATATTGGTATAACCGCGCCAGACAGAGGTTCATCGCCAAGGTGCGGGCACGGGACGGAACCGTTTCTAACTGCAAACGGCCGGATCCAGATTCAGAACGGGGTTTCAAGGGTCAATCTACAGCTAGCATGTCCAAACCGCGTTGGATTCGAAAACATTGCAGGGTGATGAAAAAGGCACACAGATGCAGGATAGAACGTTGGACTTTCATCGATCGAACCCTGCAGCCCCAGAACTTAGTTTTAACTCGTTCACATCGAAGCACCCACAACCTGCTTAAGGCCAAACTCGTTTCTCCTTTAACGTCGTAGACTCGTTTCGAAGCAGGAGTCAGGGGAGTAAACCGATACTCCGAATCCTCGTAGCAACTTGACTATCATGGTTCGACCGCAGAACCACGCATAAACTCTCATCGACATATGCAGTTCCTAATGCGTAAATCCTGCAAGCATATCAAAGTCTCCAATCTCACCTCCTGGAGCGCCGCCCTCATCTCATTGAGCGACAGGTGGCACTGCGCCATTCGATACTTGACTTCGTTCTCATCAATTCTTCCCGTTCCTTCGGGGGTCTGCTCAGCAGCGCCCAGGACCCCCCCAAAACCGGAGCGCCCAATTCCGGACTTGCCGGCGTGGCTCGCCAGCTGTAGGGCTGCTCGATATTCAGCCTACGAGAAGATGAAGGTGAGTAAGCGACCCAAGACGTAAGAAACCCGAAACAAAGAGAGCATGATCAGGGACTCATTTTAGTGCCTGCTCAAGTGGGCGGAGGTTTCCACCGCAAGTCACTCAAAACTGTACCTCTCATTCAATCGATCCGCTGCCAATCCCCCTCAAGATCCACATAAAATGAGAATGATAGAGAACCTTGGTTGAGAGTAAGTAACTGCGTAAGGGGCACTGCTTAACCTGCCACGAATGCCGAAAAGACCGGGTCCTCATGACAACTCACCAGCGCTCGCCGGTACTGCTTTGTCCCTCGATATGCGTCAGCGAGAAGGATCTGGCACATGCAAACGACGAAGTCGTGAGGCCGATTCCCTTGCAACTTCAAGCGGCGAGCACCAGCCAGAGAACCTGCCATCACCTTCTAAGATGCTTTATCTTAAGCCAGCCCTTGATTCATTTCTAGTAAACAAAAGGAGGGGCTTGACATTATCTAAAGTGCTGATATCTCCAGAGTGCAGAAAGTGTTCAAATCAGCAGGTGCTATCCGCACCACCCTTTCTCAGTGTCAGACTTACTCGAATGGAAGGAAGTGCCCATGTTTACATTTGCTTGCACTTTTGACACCTGTGGGGGCAAAATTATGCGTTGTGTGTCCCTTTAGCCCTCGGTGGATGCTTGCTCACCATGTTTTCCGCGTGTTGCATTGCATCCACGTCAGGCAGCGTCGACTCAGCAGCAAGCAACAATTGCGCCTGCAAAAAGAACAGCTTCCGCCACGCTGAAGCTTTGCACCCCTCAATCATTGCTGTCGATGAAATAACCGGCTGGCTTAGTAGAAATAGACCGCCCGCAGTAGTTGCTGATCGACCCTTCTAGCGGTCCAATCAGGGCCCATTGCTCAGCAACCACAAGTTGGCCCTGGTTGCTGAGTGGGGCGACAGGAAAGCCCATCAGCAATTCCATGACGTATATGTGTGTACAATTTTCAACATCAAATGAGAAACAGGTGGCGCAATGGCAACAAACCTGCCAATCAAGTCACCACTTCTCAGCCGGGCAATTCATTAGTGCCGGACTCCAATTGCTCACAAGTGACATGGACAATCCCCAAACAGTCCAATCTCTCCGTGCATTTGGACTCATCGCAGCAAGAACCCAAAGCCAGCCAAACAGCCCTGCAATTTGCTGATTCTCCGCAAAAACATCCGCCCATGCTAAGACCAACTTGGCCCTCATTCTGATCAAAGCGGGCCTCGATAGGCAGGCACCTTACCATCAGCTCTGCAGACTCGTGCAGGCCCTCCTGCAGGAAGAACCGGAGCTGTCGCTGCATCACCTCCATGGCGCCCTTCCCTGAAGCTGAACTTTAATTTAATAGTTCAACTTCAAGTTCAAGTGGTGGAGAAGATTTTGTCGAGATTACTGAGGGTAATACGTTCTTGCATTCTAAGCCCTGAGGCTGCATGGGCACCCGGCAGGTGATGGAGAGGTCGGTTTCTCATTTCGACGAGCTGCTGAGTTCAGTCTTTGATATGGCATTGGTCTGGGTCGCATTGGTAGGTATTTGCGCTGAGTAAGCATGGCTTTGGGCGCCTTGCGTTTCCTTGGGAGGGTCGCAGCTGCTGGCAGCCAGCTCGTCACCCAGCGGCTCTCTGGCCTTGTCAGCAGCGGGGGCATTTGCAACCATCTGCACAGATCGCAGGGCACGTCTTTGCTTCCAAAGTTTAGCTGCTCCTGGCTGAGCGGTAGCAGAACTGCAACTGGGTCGTTCCCCAGACCTGCATTGGCGACGGAAACTTGCAGCTCACTACTCTCAGAGCAGGTACAGAAGCAATTTGGCCTGGGATGCTTCTTGCACAGTAGCACTGCGAGCGGGGATGGCAGCATGCGAGGAGCGCGGGAGCCTTTGACACTAGAATCGTGGAAGAGGTTGGGCGTAGAGCGGCAGGTGCTTGAGTTGAAGAGCCTCTCCATTGAGCAAAGGTGGCGGTTTCTAGAGAAGTTAGAAGCAAGTGGGCAAAGACCCACAATAGTCCACTGGACCACGGCCTTGCATGACGAAACGGGGTCCTTGAGCGTGGAGGTGCTTGTGGCTCGAGTGGAAGAGCTCTGGAAGAAGGGCTACCAGCCAAATGCTATCACGTACGGCGTGCTTTTCTATGCTTGTAGGCGGCAGTTCCGATTAGAAGATGCTTTTGTGATCTGTAGGGACATGCTTGGCCACTCAGTCCAGCCCCAGCGACAGACCTTCCTGACACTCGCAGTACTACTCAAGGAGTCATTTGCGAGCAGCAGGTCTGCCCCACTCATTGCGCCTCACAGCAAAGGGATGTTCTATCTTCAAGTTCTCCATGCAGAGCTGCACGCTTGGGGAGTACCCATAGATGTCCCAATTGCATGTGCCCTGATGAGAGCGCTAGTGGAGTTGTGTGGGAAGGCAAGGTTGCACTCTGGGGGAATCAAGCTTGCAAAGGAGATGCAGATGGCAGTTCGCAACCAAGGCCTTGAATCGAGTGACGCACTCTGCGCAGCAATCATCGAGTGCCTCACGACCAGGTTGGCAGACATGAGCATTGCAATCGATGCTCTGAACGAAATGAGAAGCTTGGGTGAAGAAGTTGGTTCAAAGACATATGCCGCTCTGGTAAAAGCCTACACTAAAAGGCACCAGTTTGAGGCCATACCACCGTTATTGCGTCGAGCAGAGTCGGAGGGAATTGCGTTTGATGCTAATAGCTTGGGGCATGTGATCAACGCTTTTGTCAAGACGGGTCGCAACCAGGAGGCTACGCAGTTATTTAAAGAAGCAGAGAAGGGTATAGTCATGAGCGCAATCCTTGTCTCGGAACACCTTCGCAATTTGTCAATCCAAGAAGATTGCCAAGAAATTCTACGGGTCTCCGCAAAGTATCGTGACTTGTTCGCCGTGGATGCCAGTCCTCGCGAGCGTGATCAGCAGTATCTTGTGCAAACACTCGTAAATATTCTGGCGAATAACCCCACAGAAGAGGGCATTCATTTCATTTGCCAAGCTTTGGACGACTGTAGAAGTGGCTTGGCAACGGCATGTAGCAATTTGCTCCGCAACCCAATCGAGGAGACTTGGAGAGCTTGCTTTGGGGTTCTGAAAGAATACCAAAGCATTACACTCTTGGAGCGCACGAAGTAGTACAAGAACTGAGCCAGTCTTTGTGGGCACTCGGAAGGAGATCAGATGCAGTAAAGCTCGTGGCAGGAGCAAGAGAAAATGACATGTTTCGAGATGTGATAATGGATTTCAATAACGTGGTGCAACTAGATGTGCATTCTCTTAGGGTCAACACGGCTAAAGCGTTTCTCTACCTCGTTCTAAGAAGGCTTTTAGTGCAAAGTGGCAGTCAAGCATCTCAAGGTAAGCAACTTAGGTTGATTACTGGACAAGGACGTCATAGTCGTCGAGGAAATGTCGCTAAGGGTCAAACTATGCTTGTTGAGCTTAAAAAAGTATTGTTAGAATGTAGGTTTACGGCGTCTGATTTTAAGTTCTTGCCAGGTGGAGGGGCGTTTATTATCCTGGAGGCCAGTATTGAGCGCTGGTCGCACTTGTTGTTAGTTTAGTGAGAACTGGTCACTTCGTGGGCACACGAGTCTCCTTATTCGGCAGACGGTCTGCAAGTCTACTTCTTTGATTTCAGTGGCCAGGAATAGTTGCCAACCACATGGGATTTTGGATTCGTTGCTACAGTCATGCAGTGTAAACTCAAATGTTGGGCGGCACGCACCGATGGTCACTTCTTTTTATACACGCTTAGGCACCTGGGCCCATGGCGCAGAAACAAGCAATTTCGGAGTTCGGGGGCTTCATCACCGATCAAGTCACTCCCTTATACACAGGAAACGAACTTCGTCATGCAATAATCAAACACGTCCGACGTAAGCACTACTCACCTCAGCAGGCTAACTTAAATAATCATATCTAATGCAGTCGCTGAGCTGGCAGCAACGGTGAGGCCTGGCCGCACCGTCGTCCATGCAGCCACTGGGCCAGTATCTTTTCAAGTTTGATCATCGATGATCCCGGTCTAATCAACATGATTGAACTAAAAGCACAATCTGACTCTAGCTTGCATGACAACTGGGCCCGGCCGCCCGCATGTGTGCATGCATATATATGGCCTGGCAAGTTGGATCAGAGATCTGGCATGTAAAACGTTATGAAAGATATGGCTAGATTGTCTGTAGACGATTTCACATGTTGTCCAGCTACAATCGCCTGTATACATCATGCGCGGCCGTGCGTAATGTGAAGCTGGACTAACTTCTGGGATTTGATTGCAAATTGCAAATGATTGCCAGGCTCGCACCGCACTGATTGACATACCATGCATCCCATGCCAAGCCTGTACGGTATCAATCATATTATCACATCTTCCAAAGGCTGCGCACATATCTAGCCAGACATGCAAACATAGCACGCACGGGGGGTGACCCCGTTCACATAAGCAACGGGCATGTTTGAGCGCAATGGCTCAGACTTGCAGTGGTTTGAAACAACTTCCCAGCCGCACGTGCAACTTCATTCCATGACTGCATGTCAGCCACTCGGGCCGCAACAATTCTTTTGACGTTGGGATGGCCCCAATGAAGCACCAAGAAGTGCATCTTCATGCTGACTATGCTTTAGAAACAAGATCAAACAACTTGTTTGTTGAGCCGTGGGATGTTTATTCAGCCAGGTCATTGCACGTGTCTCATCCATACCCCCTCCTATCTCCGTTCCACGTGTCAACGGCCCCCAAGGTCGCCGACTCGTCTGTAACGGGCATGTTCCTCCCTTCTGGAGGCTTTTCATAGCTGCGCGTTCCAACGTACGTCTCAACCCGGTTGATGACAGGTGCTGTGTCGGCGTCACCCGTCTTTTGCAGGGCGGGGAGAAGCGCTGTCATGATCACATCCAGGATTTTCCGGAACTGCTTCGGATACGTTTGGTTTAGTCGGAACCCCGCCACCTGCACGTTCCATAGAAGCACTTTTGGTCCTTGTTGCAACCTGAGCTTCTCATTCCAAACAGGCACTAGTTGCGACACGCATGCGTCGAGACTGGAGTTATTTTCCCCCCTCTAGTTCAGAAGGCTTTGTGAACTTCGTTATAAAATGCGAAAGGCGTACTGTCTGCTTTCTCATTGGTAGAGCGCATTTAGGCTTCCTAATAGAGAAGCGGAAAGTTTTGTGTGTGCAAAGAAAGGTTGACGAGATTGATACATGGCCTCCAAGATACTCCCTGAGAACGTCACCATTGTGAAGCTTATCCACACCGCAAAGACGCAAATTTCGCCCGACGAAGGGACTAGATAATTATGAACCATTAATACCAACACGACTTGCTGCGCGTTTATAAACGTCAATGGAAAGTCCGACAAACACGGTACTGCCATCGCTTATTCTCTTCATGAAGGATCCCTCTATCCAGAAGTGATGTCAATACGCAACTTGATAGGTCGTTTCAAATCGTAAATCAATCCTCAGGTGCTTCACGGCAACAAGTGACAAAGCCAGCCGCGCTTACGTTGGAGGCTGCCGAAAATGCTGACGCACTCCCTTTGAATAGAGACAACGCTTGCTGAAATACTACACGGCGTATGACGCGAATACACGAAAAAACTTTCGCACTTTTCTGAGCAAACACTGACCTTGATCATTGACTCAAGTGCACTCCCGGAGCCCCGGTTGGGGGGCAGCCCGTTGAGCAGGCGGGCCAGCCACGCCCACGCCTGGTCCAATCCGTGAACCGGTTGACCCCGGGGGGGGTCCGTCTGCCAACCCACAAAAACCGCAGCTTGTCAGTTGAATGTTCGGAAAGCACGGGTTTGTAACGCGGTCGGAAGCCACGATTTGCAGATCGAGCCACAGAGGGTTGGGTTGCAAAACAGTTCCGAGCTATGCAGCGACACGAAGCGACACAGATGCGCAGAAACAGGAAAGCAAGTGCTGTGGTGTGCAGAAAGCAGAGCGTACGTGCTGGTCCGAGCACTAGAGTAAAACGCTGTGCTGTTTCCGCAGAAACACCAGACGGACTGGGCACTCTGCCTGCATATAAAGCGAAGTCGCCTTTGGACTGCGGCGGCATAGCGTATGACTCACCTGCGTGATTGCAGCATAGAAGACCATGATCCCAGTCATTCGCCCAATATAGGCGTCGGTGCTTTCCAGCTGTCCGTCCTCTTCTCGGTATCCAACCGTCCGGTAGTAGGCCGCTTCGGACTCGTACTGTGCCTAAAATACGGAACAAAGAGCAAGTATCTGAGTCACGAGATTCACGAAAGGTTGACGGTCTTGTTTCAATTGAACGGTTGGCGTTGCCGTGAACATCTATGAAACCCATGACAAACTCTTGTGTGGACGCAATTCCAGCCTTGTTGTTGCGTAGACAGATGCAATAAAGAGAGATTTGACAAGAGGCTGAGGTCAGAAAAGACGAGTCTGATAGCCCAGAATTGGGAAGCGGTTCAGGGAAACCCAAGACCGCACTGAAAATAGAGCAATCTATCCGGCATCTCCAGCTGCGAAAAGGAAGCGCAAGCAAATGACGAACGGCGATTACCAACACCGAAAGCATATCCCTGCGATAAGCTCACCGGAATGTGAGGAATCTATTTCGGTACGACGAAGCAGCACTCCTGCGCAAGCGCGCGAGCCGCACATCTCACAAATCCCGGAAAAGAGGAGGGGACAACCGCACCAGAAATGAAAGAACCCTTAAGATAGGCTTACCGGAATGTACGGGATGTATTTCGGTACGACGAAGCAGCACTCCTGTGCGAGGCGCGCGAGCAGCACGTCCCGGAAGGGGGGCACGGCGGCGGCCACGTTGATGGCGACCTGGGCGAGCGGGAAAGCGAACGACGGCAGCTTCTGGACCTGGCTCTCGCACTGGCTCAGAAACTGCGGACGGAAAAAGGGGGGCGGATATGGACTTGGTAGAAAACTTGTTCCAGGGCGTTTCGCGCAGATGACCACCGTGGGAGTGTGTTCTAGTGACATCAGATAATCATTTGGAGGCTCGATAGGTGTGCAAAGGTCGGTAAGTCTGGCAGCTTCTGGACCTGGCTCTTGCACTGGCTCAGAATCTGCGGGGGCAGAAGGGAGACGGCTGGTGAGAAAGTGGATCGGGGGCATTTATCTCACGAGAAGATTGGAAGTTCACTCATGGCACATGAAAAGGAGTTCGGGTCAGACTGTTGGTAGAGTCCCGGAAAGGGTTCAGAATTTCTGCCGGTAAGAGAAGAAGAGGGGCTGGGGAAAAACTTTGAATCCGAGAGAACGGAGCGAATACAGCTCTTGAGGAGATTCGAGGCTTGTAGCGTCAGCAAATGGTAGCATGAATCATGCAGAGTGCAGAAGGTTGGTGAAATGGTGTGATCGGGGCATGGAGGGCCCAAAAGGACGTTAAAGCGAAGGCCGTTGGGCTCGAAGAACGGCAGCCTTTGGAGGTCACTCCCTGCCTGGCACTTGAACCAAGCCCAAATAATGATGATGCTGCAAACGGAGTGCCAAGTGCCCTCACTCCAAAAGTGCGCTTTACGAACAGGCCTTTGAGCTTCGACAAAGGCTCCCAACTTCTTCACCAAAAAACGATCAAACTCTTGGGAAGCACACTCCGTCTGAAGGCGCCTTACAAGACACCCTCTTTTCTGCAGCTGCCGCTTTTGTTTTTCAGACAAAGATTCACGTCACCTTCAAGACCCGGGGGCTACCTTCATCCTCGGCAACTCTTCAGAAATGATGGCACATATCTGTCAAAAGCAGGTCCGTAAGAAGCGTGCAAGTTGTATATTACCATCTACAGGCCCTGAGCAGCCTCGACAGACAGGTCCGCTAATACTTCGTGAAAGGTAAAAGCTTAACTTGTCTGCAAGAGCCAAGAAAAGGAAGTTCCGCTGCGGTTGCCTCGTCAAAGATTCTCCAGCTCATGCCCAATGAACTTGAAGCAAAACGCTCTGGGGGCTACGCTGAAAAACGAAGCGGAAACAACGTTCCGACAGGTCTGAAAGATCCTTCAAAATGGTGACGACTGACTTTGTCCGCAAGCGCCAGTAGAAGGAAGTTTTGCTGCGGCCGCTTCACTCATTCTCCTGCTCATGCCCAATTACTCTGGAACACAATACTTTGGTGGGCCGATTAAAAAAAACAAAAAACATGATTCCGACAGATCTGAAACCTTCTTTCAAATTGACTAACGCACCTTGTCCGCAAGCGCCAGTAGGAGGAAATTTTGCTGCGGCTGCGGCGCCTGTTGCAATTCTCGCACAAGCTCGGCGCTCTTCAGACCAACTTGCCGCTGAGTGGCGCTGATCTGCTGGACCAGTGTCGTCATGCGCCGCTCCAGGCCCTTGCGCTCCTGTGAAGTGAACCAACTTTTTTGTTTTGCATCTTCTCATTGGTGGTAGTTTTTTGCTCGTGAGAATGATCAAGTGATCTGCTGGACCAGTCTCGTCATGAGTCGCTCCAGGCCCTTGCGCTCCTGTGAAGTGAGCCAAGTTTTAGCTGTGAACCTCAAATTCAAAGCCTCCGAGATTTGTGTTCGTGTAAGGTTCACAATCTCCTAAGATTGTTAAGATCATTTGCTGCTTCCAGCGTCGTCAAGCGCAGCTCCAGGCGCTTCCGTTTTCCTGGTCCATACTTCTGATAATGGACAATCAGCTGCATGAAATGTAAGGTCTTACTGCCGGGCAACAGGAACGAGTGGAGACAAGACCAATTCAGATGAAGTTAATAATTCTACCTTGCCGCTAGAGTAGTCGCGCGACTAGCAATGAGCAACCCTCAGAAGCAAGCGCATTCAGAAGCGGCCCAAAATTCAATACCGCTCTTCACCACTTGTTCTTCTGCCATCAGAATAGCAGTGAGAGACTTCAAGGAAAGTCAGAACGCCAAATTCAACCCAGAAAACGGCTACCTTTTTCGCCCCTGGCGCCTCTTCAAACGCCTTTACGTTCTCCTTCACTCTCCGCAGCACTTCCATCCTTTCCCTCTCTCCCCTCGCCGCGCTTTCCGTCATCTTAACCTGCCTCGCCCCCCCCGTCGCTTTCGCCGCTTGCTTTTCCGCTTGCTCCTTCGCTTTTCGCTCCTCTTCCCCTCGTTTCGCCACCGTTTCCCGTTCTGCCCTCTTCCGTTCCGCGTCCGTTTCCGCCCTCCTCCGTTCCGCCTCCGCCTCTTCCGCTTGCCGCTTCCGCCGGGCTTCTTCGTCCTCCTGCTCCTTTTTCCGGCGCGCTTCTTCCGCCGCTTTTTCAGCCGCCTCTTGCTGACGTCGTTCCTCGACCCGTCGGGCTTCTTCCTCCGCTCGACGGCGCCGCGCCTCCGCCTCAGCAGCCGCCCTACAAAAAGACGCGTGAAACTTCCCAGAGAAGGTGGCGAGGAGATAAAAGCCAACAGACCCAGGGTTTTTAACTCGCCTGAGAGATGTCGAGGGCGCGGATCCATGAAGCGCTGGGTGATCGTGTTGGTTTCACAGCAGTGATTCGCAACGAGGAAAAGAAACGCGCATCAGAACCGCTCACTCTGCAGCCGCCTCACTCTGGGACCGCCTCTGCCCTGCTGATTGCTTTACGAGATCTCAAGGACGAATTGAACCACATACTGAAAAGGGCAAGCTGTTGCGATCCGACTTATGGAGAGTGACTGAAGAGAGGAAACGACAGCAAAGAAGAGAACGGAAAGAGGTCTCTGGGTGAAGAGGACCCCTTACTTTGCCGCAGCCTCTGAGTCCTTGAGCCGCCGTTGGCTGGCGGCCTCTCGCTGCTCGTGGTCCCGCTGAAGCGCACTCAGGTGCGCATCACGCGCCTCCGCGCTGCATCAAGAGGTGATTGAAATTTTGTTTCGACTTAATTCAATGCTTAATCGACTGTGATTAACATTGAAACCAGATCTATATCAGCATCGGTTGAATCTTTCACGTCTGGTCCGGCTGCTATAGTCCGGAGTTCAACATACAAGATTGACATTCGACTGTGATTTTGTGAGCCTGGAAATATTGCGAGAAATGCTGCGACCAGCTTAGAAAGGTCGTAGGACATGCACATCCTCTCCTGGCAATCTGCGGTGCAGGGAGTTCGATCGGGTCCGTCCAACAAGACTCAGACTCACTGAGTCTGCATTTCCCGAGCTTTGAAACCTGACGCCCACTTTGAAGGAGCATTAGACGAGCATTAGAGCACTCGACGCCAGCACGACGTCTCTTGGCATAGCCGCTGTGCACTGCTCACAATTTTTCTCCCCAAGTCCCCGAAAACCGACACCACTAATCCGCAACCTTGGCCTTCCAAATCGCACGACGAAGGAGGTCCTCACATGCCCCGCTGATCCTCTGCATCTCGCGCCCGCACGCGCTGCAGCGCTTTCTCCCTTTCCCGCTCGAGCGCTGCCAGCGCCTCCGCCTCTTGCTGCCCCTGAGCCTCTGCATGGCGCGCCAAGCCACGCCACCGCGCACGAATGTCCTCCTGCAACAGCAGATTTTTGAGCCATTTCCTTCTACCAGTTGAGACATGACAGAAGACAGGACTGCAGGTACAAGTGGTTGGAGCACTTATAACATCAACTACGGGCGAGACTCTCGGAAACAGCGAAACGCCGAGCAGAAGGGCAAAAGCGAGAGCTCTTAAAAGCTTCCATGACCTACTGAGCACAAGCAATGGCGGCAATATGGCGAAGCAGGGCACTACATCAACCAGGCCAGGCAATCCTAGAAACATACAAAGCCTTCAACTGTTTCTCAACCAATGTGTCTGGCAGCTGCTTACAGCGCCCGTTGTGAAGGGCAGCCGCCAGGTTCAGAAGATTGGCAGACAGACGTCTTCAATCTCGAAAAAAGAGAGAGGTTAACAGCGCTACCATCGGCTTCAGCAGGCAAAGACACCCTCTCTGCAAAGCTCAACGCTTCGGCCCTGTCAAACCCTGACCTTGACCCGAGCCAGGCGCTCTTTCCAGCCCAAATACCGATTCTAGTCGCCAGCTGAACACTCAGGTAGCAATTGGCAAAACGTTCGAAGAATGAAAGGACAACACATGTCAATATCGCCTCAACAGACACGGCTGACGTGTAAGAAACCTGCCGAAAACTCATTTTGAGTCTGGCCAGGCGCTCCTATTCAAGCCCAAACCACGCCAACAGCTTGACACTCCGGCAGCAATTGGCACAAACCTCCAAGAACGAAAGGACGACACATGTCAATATTGCCTCAACAGACACAAGTGACGTGCACTGGGGGCTGTCGAAACCTCACCTTGACCCCCGCCAAGCGCTCCTTTTCCAGCTCGAACAGCGCCGCTTCTACCACGTCCGGTGGCGGCAGCAGGCTCTCCTCCCAGGACCGCCCAGACGCCGCCGCGACCTCCTCAGCGGGGGGGACGCTCTCTGGTAGTCTGCAGAGGGAGCATGGGGGGTGTTAAAGAAGGGAGGGCGAGCCCTATATGCGGCGGGCTTTACGAAAGGTGACGAGGCACCAGTTTTCAACGAAGTTGCCTAAGCGGGGGGACGCTCTCTGGTGGCCTGCGCAGGGGGCATGCAGGGGGGGATAAAGGAGGAGAATAGTGAACGCCGCATGCTTCGGACTTCACAAACGGGACAAAGCACCACCCGTCTACTAAACTGCCTTGGCAGCGAAAAGGTTCTCTAGTGTTCTGCGCAGGGGCATGTGTGGGTAGAAGAAGGGAGGCACGCTGCATGGGGAGGCGGGGAGCGAAAAGGCACTCTTTCAAAAGGTGTGGAGTGATCTTGTTTTACTAGGGGAGTGATTGAAAGAGCTCTCGTCTTCACTTTGAAGGTTTGGTTGTGATTATTCAATTCAGATTTGAAGTCACATCTCTTTGAAACGGGAAAAGCTTTAGGCGCTTCAACGAGCCGTAACAAATCGCCAACGTCCAACACAGTTGTCCTTTAATTCATTCAACGCTGCAAGACAACATTGGTCTTTTATAGACAAAACTCACCGCAGATCCTCTGTCCTCCCCCCTTTTGCCCCGATGCTTGCGGGTGCGCCACTTGGCACCCCCTCGTCGTCTTCGTCGTCGAAGTCCGGTACTCGTACGATGAAAGGCGCTTTGGTCCGGCCGAAGTCGGTCGGTTCGAACAACTCGATGCACGACAATCTGCAAAGGAGGGAAAGAACTTGGCCGGCCAGCTCAACGGAGTGTCCAGAGAACGAGCCATGCCGGCCTTATGATGCGGCGACGATGTGAAGGTGGTTTCTGAGCGCTAGATTCAGGCGAGAAAGGGGTAGGTGCCTCCACGGAAAAGAGGCTGATCAGAAAGCTGGGGGAACTCTGGCAGACCAGTTACGAAAAGGAAGCGTTATCGAGGATTCTGGTGATCGAATGTAGAGGGATTAGTGAAAACCGATAGCTGGTGGTGCCCAGCTGCGCGCCCGCTGACAAAGACGAAAAGCTCAGAAAGCTCAGATGCTTCTGCTCTCTCTAAAGATTGCATACTCTTGCAGATTGAAGCTAATCCGCAGAAACAGAACAATTCAAGTTTTGTGGTTCAAGGTTGTTGTGCTCGAGCTCGAACAGAAACCCGGCTAAACGCTTGAGCTTTCCTAGTGCTCTCACAGATGGTTGATACAGATCCATCAAACATATTTCAAACTTAACCCTGATTGTTGCATTATAGCTCACCTCTTCACGCTTGCCTCTGCGCCCCTTGCCGTCCCCCCTCGCAGAGGCGACGGAGTCGCCCCATTCTTGTAGACTATCTTATCGAGCTCCGCGCTCAAGTCCCCAAGATTCCAATCCGGGTCAGGGTCAACTTCTAACCGGCTGCTTAACCCCGCTTGCCCATTGCTCCTCGCAAGGAGTGAGGGCGACCTCAGCGTGAGGTGCAGCTTTTCCTCTGAACCATGCCGTAATTTCTCCCCCGATGAGCGCCTGTTCGACGGTGAAATGGCAGGGAGCAAGGCAATGGCAAAAGGGTTGACCGGGGGGGGTGATAGTGGATCAGCTGACTGTAAAGTTGGCCAGAGACCAAGAATGTTGTCTGCTAGGACTGAACCAGTGGCACTCTGATGCGGAGAGTCCCACACCCAACTGTTAGCGCCCCCATCTAGTTCTGCCCCTGAGGGGAGCACAGACTCAGGCGACCGGACTGGAGACGGCTGAGAGTCCAATCCAGTCGCCAAGCTTGAGTCCGACTGTGTGTCCGACTTCCGTGGCCTCCGGTTAGGGTGCTTGAAGGGGGAGAGCCGGGTGGCACGAGATGCATCTTCAACCGGGATCGCCATCAGGGGTGGCAAACTGGGGTCACCGCAATCTGCTGTGAGGAACAGAAAGGTGGGGGTTAGAGAGAACCAATCGAGCAAATGGGGATTGCAGACTGGATCTTCACAATGAAAGTATGGATTAGAAGGCCTCCTAAAGTGCAAGATGTATGTGGGTCTTGGGAAAGAAATCAAACACAGATGGCCAAATTGGGGTTCGGGCTTCCATCACCCAACCAAGAGATACGGGACTGTGCCTGGCAAGTGGTGTTCATCGACTTTTGCCTGATCAATGCCAATCACTAATCAATGTTGACTTTCCCACAACAGCAGGAAAGTACATACTCCTTCACTCTTTTGGGAGGATTGTTTGAGTAGGGCCGTTTCGTTGAAGCTGCCCCTGCGAATGGGACCAATTCTCACCAGTCGACAACCGCGTAAGTAGCTCATACTGATGCATATCATTTATGGTGGCGGCATCAACAGGGCTGCAGACATGCAAAAATGGAATGAGCTTCCCAATGCAAAATGAGACCCTTGATAGACAAACGTCCCTTACCTGGCCATCATTTGGTGCATTGCTCTGCTTATGGCCCCCTGGTTGGTGGAAGACTTCCAAACGGGCCAATAACTTTGCAGCAAGACCTACAAAGTTGCTGATGGATCCGTCCTGCGGCCTTGAACTTTGACGCACTACTTTACCAGCTCGTTTGTAAGAATCCCTTCTCGAAGAGCAAGGCGGCTACCTGGACTGGCGTACTGGGGAACGATTTCTTCAAAAGCTTCCCTTCAACTTCAACTTTGCTTCTGGCACTGCCTTCCTTTCCTGGACAGCGTGGCAATCTTGACGATGTCTGGCTAACGTAACCCGGTTTGCTCTAAAACTCCTCGTCGAGCGATCTGACCGCGGGATGTACCCATCATCGGTTCGACGCGTGCTAACAGAGATGCAAAGTAACGATGGGATGTAAAGTGGGTCAAGTTTTAATCTCTTTCTGAGCTCCGACTCCGAGGAACAGAGCATCTTTCGGTGATACAGAATTTCAATGGCAGAACGCACAAGGGGATCACATTGACCGCCATTGGCATAGGTAGCGTATGGTTGTCTCTTTCACTAGGAAGTTCTTGAGGAGATTATCCAGAGCGACCGCTCGATTGAGTGCTGACCGGTCTTCAACTTCAAACTGACGATTGGTGGACGCACGTTTGGGACCGGCCGCTTGCTGATCCAATTGAGTGGTCAAGCTGATTTAAGGAGTAGAGGGCAGAGACTGCCATGCAGGGGATCTGTTGAGCATTGACAATGCCTTATGGATACAAAGTCCCATTCCAGATGATATAGCAGCATTGTGTTCATATCCCGCTCGCCTAGGTGGACGCGCTTTAGGTCCACTTTGTAGGTGGTGCGGCGCCGTTTGCTCTCACGTTGCGGAGTGCGATGGCTTCAGAAACTGAAGCAGCCTCTCCTGACACCGCTGGTGAAGTAAGTGGTTTCTCTGAGGTGGTCTTTGAAAGCACAGAACAAACGCCAACAGTTTCTGAGGAGAGCAATGAAGAAGCGCCATCTTCCAATGCAATGCTACCACCTGGCGACGTTTTCCGCCCTGAGGACTTGCAACAGATCCGCTCGGCGCCCTGCCGCATCCATGACATTATCATTGAGGGCGCAAAGCGCACCAAACCCCACGTCATTGAGAGAGAACTGGAGGAGGCGAGAGCTGCGGGGAACTTCACGGAGCTGGCGGAGAGACTGGTGGAAGCGACGGAGCGGCTGAGGGGACTGGACATCTTTCAGAAGTGTGTGGTTACGTGCGAGGCGGGTCCGAGCGAACTGCCGGGGACAACCAATGTGGTGAGGTTCTTGCGTTTAATGGGCAATGGGTTCATGCCTCAAGCATGTAATCTCATGCTTTTGTGGTGGCACACTGATGCACTTTGATGGTGGGGACCTTGACGCAGTGCGTCATAAGCCTCTGAACAACCGCTGCTTGGAAGTGGAGTGTTCGCAAATTGCAAATCTGCACTGGAAGATCTCTGCAAAGGAGAGGTTTGCTCGACTTCTCTGCTCCTCCTCCATTCATCACTGTGGCGGGCACACGTGTAAATGTTAAAAGGCCCTGTAAGATGAGGAGGATCAGGTTCCCTCCAAGGATCTGCAAAATCTCCTACCCTCTCAATGAGGCTGATCAAGTGTGTGGTTGTTTGCTTCCTTTGCCCTAGTAAGCCAGAAATCGACCGGTCAAATGGTTTTCCTGTGTAATATGTGGTGCTGAAATAAAAAACATGATGAAGAGTTCAGAGGGCTCTGAATGTCTTCGCAAGAGTCCTTGAGAAGCGCGTAGTGGATTAGGCAGGCTCTGTATCTGACAGCAAGGACTCTCTTGGAAGGACTTCCAGCTCGCCCCACGTTGCTTTGTTGACGAAAAGGGCTTGTGTAGCATGCAGAGCCACCTATCGAGAACGTGTATGCATGTGTGCCCTTTCATCAGACTTGACTTCTCAATCAGTTGCTACAGCTTCTTTCGACCAGGTTGCAAATGAAACTAAGAAAACTTCTCGAGAAATGTCTGATTCCGAGCTCCCGGGCAGAAAGTTTCCAGAAGTTGAAAGGCCTTGTCAAAAAGTTGGTCGACTTGTACCGGGCCAAATTTACCTGCGATTCTGCAATCGACTTTTCTAGGCTACCTCAAGTTCCGCCCGGCTTTGACAAATTTGTCAAGAAAGTTGCCTCATTTCTCGAGAAGATTTCTTGGTTTCATTTGCGACTTGGTCGAAAGAAGCTGTAATTGCCAATCTAGCTTGCTACTTTCCAGAATCTGAAGGTCGTTGGTTCGTTGCAAAGAGCGTAGCCGGTGAGGCAGCTTCGTGCAGTTTGTAGAGAACCTCAGGAAGCTTCTAACATGTTTACGATCGTCCCGCATATCAAAATCCAGATTGTTTTTCAGTGTGAGGTCATCCCTGTCTCGAGAAGAGCCTCTTTGGAGCCTGAGCCGGGACCTACTTCCAGAAGCTGAAAAACTTCTGCATATGCACATGAGCAGGGAATGGTTATCTTCCGATCATTCTATTACCTGTTTGCACAATTCTGGGTAACCCGCAGGTCGTCTCTGTCGTTGAGAAGGGCCTACATCTTCCAAATTCAGCCCTCAGCTTCGGTTTGTAACCCGCTGGTCAACATGCTAACCTATATCCCTAACCTTCAGGTTGTCTCCGTTGTCGAGAAGGGCCTCTTTGGCGTGCGCGCGGGGACGTACTTCCAGGGGCGGGAGGGCAGCGTCGAGGGCAGCGTCTCCATGCGCAACGCCTTCGGCTACGCCGAGCAACTAGACGCGAGCATCCAGCGCAGCCGAGAGATTTCCAACACGTTCTCGCTCGGCTTGGCGGTCCCGCGCCCCGCGCTGCGTGCGCGCGTTTTCCAGAGCAACAGCAATTGGCAGGATCTGAGCAGCTACATCGAACGGTTGAGGGGGTGCCAGGTCAGCACCGATGCGGGCGACCACGAGATCGACTACCAGCTGGCATGGCGGGAGCTTCGGGTGAGTGAAAAATGACTGAACCTCTCCCCTCTGAGGAGCGTAATCTTGTCACGGCAGGATGGACCTGACCCGGCGAGAGCTCAGGGGATTCTCTATAGAGTTGTGCTTCACAGTCTCACCTAAAATGCCGTGAAGAGGTCGTGTCATCCTTGTCACATTCCGTTCACCTTCGAATCTGCTCTGGGAGTGTTTCGAGAAAGCCCGGTCTTCGAGGAGGCCCGAAAGATCGGCGTCAAGAATGCTGGACAAAGACCCGTCATTCTACGAGTCAATCATATCAATAAGCGGTTCTCTGATCCCCGTTCTTTTGAGAATTCCAAGAAAAAGCAGCCATCCGTTTTCACCAGTTTCCGCCGGGGGAAAGCTCTTTGGAGCTTATAAGCACACGCGTTGGTGTCTATATGGTCTGACGTTCTGCAAATTAGCAAATTCACCAAAAGCAAAGCATCTGGATAAGCACATATGGGAGAATGACTTCTTAGCAGCTTTTCTTTGAAGTGTTTGTTTGAGGATGCGGCTTTGTGAGCTGGCATTGCGCCCTTGCGACGTAAAACTCCCTACGGATTGCAGGGTCTAAAGGACGACGTGGGGCGGATCCTATGCGAACAACGCGGCCGTTCTTTTCTACTTGTGGACATGTCAACGTTTACCCAGCAATTTCGCAATCATGGCCAATAATGCGAGCATTCTCTCCGGTTACAGAATCCAGCGGGCACGGCGGGGTGGAGCGTGCAGTGCAACCGGGTCATTTGCTGCGTTCAGAAGAACGTCAGCTTTTGTCCACAGAGCGGTCACCCTCAAAACCAAGCCTAAAGTCTGTGTTAACCTTCTCTGTCACCTCTGGTCGACCTCCTTACGTGTTTCTGCAACCATCATTAACCTTTTTCTCGGTTACAGGATCCAGCGGGCAAGGCGGGACGGAGCGTGCGGCGACAACTGGGTCACTCGCTCTTATCGAGCGTGACGCACACGTACCGGCTAGAGAACCGGGACAGCCGATTGCGGCCGACGCAGGGCTGGGGGCTGCGCGTGACTAGCCAACTGGCGGGACTAGGACTCGATTCTAATCTTGTGCGGTTCATAAAAGAGGTAGGTTTTGGTTTGATTTGATTTTGTGAAGCTGACATTTTGGACCGGTATCTATTCGCGTCACTCTGGGTTGGTACCTCCGCGTCACCAGCCGATCGGCGGGACTAGGATTCGACTCGAACCTCGTGCGGTTCATAAAAGAGGTAAGGTTGGTCATTTTTAAAAGTGTAAGCGATGTCCAAAGTTGAGACTGGGAGGGTATATTAGCACCAATTCGAAATTGAGGAGAGCGTTGTGATCTCGCAGCGGCGGGTTCGAACTCGACCTTGATTACGTGCTGGCTATGATGGAAAAAAGGCGAACGTGACAAAGTCTCGTTCCCAGACTCTACTCTTGCGGGCCTTTTAACATCCCTGGCAGGGAGTTCAATCTCTTCGAAGAAGGTCGGAAGGTCTGAGTTTCGGTCAGGCTTCTAGACGGGAGCCGAAGAGCAGGAAAGTGACACAGCGGGGCCGTGGCAAGGCTTCCGCGCTGCAGTCTGTGTAGGAACGATATCGTGCAACTAAAACAGTCGTTGTGTTTTCAAGGTGCGCTTTTCTTATTTTGGATTTAGGGAGCGCTGAACGGACAGTTCGAGAGCGTTGGTTCCTCATAAACTTCGCCGTAATCATGAACTTTGCTCGTAGCGATGTGCCACTTTCAGGTCGCTCGCCACGCGGTTCCTCACGCGGAATCCGTTACACTGGACTGGAGAACCACCTTCTTGTCCATCACTCAGAGGCCATTTCCTTCCTCCGCTTTGCGATGACGTCACCCTGCCCAACGCTGACGTCACCCACGTTCCCTCCTCAGGAAGTCGAGGGCCACGTGGCCTTCCCCCTGGGCTTCGGCGGCGCCGCGCTCGGCCTTGGCGCGACTGCCGGGTTCCTCCTTCCCCTCGGCTTGGGTGGTGTGAAAAAGCCCACGAGCATTTCGGACCGTTTCTTTCTGGGGGGGCCGAACAGTCTGCGGGGGTTCAAGCACCGGGGGGTGGGGCCGTCAGAGCCGCGGCGAATATTGGAGGAGCCCAAACCGGGGGCGCCGCCACCCCCCCGGGACGCTCTAGGTGGAGATTTTGTGGTGGGTGGTTTTTGGATTTTATGACGCAACGATGTTTTGGGGCTTTAAGGTTTCAGAGGTCGTTTGTGCGCGCCAGTGATTTTAATCTTCACAGGAGCTGTGGTGGTTCTTTAGGTTACAATCTATGATGGGCTTCCTTCGTGCCCATTGTTCTGAAGATCTTGCTGCGATGGTTAAGTCAGTTTCTTGTTCTAACAATACGCAGCCTGCCCGAGTCATCTTATCAGCATTTTCGTCGTTTGATCGAGAGACCCTGCAGTTACGGCTTGCACGTAGTGCGGGTCTAAGGTTTAATCTGCTGTTAACCCGAACTGCTACAGCGTAGGTCAAGAGTTGCATCTGGCTACCGCAAAATCATACGGACTCCTTGGGCCTGAAATGACCCCTGTGTGTCACCGTCCGATCATAATACACTCAAGTGCGTTGGAGTGCTTACTCTAAGATGACAGTGCGTTTTCCCATTTCATCGCCTCGAAAGCGCGACAATTTCACAGCGGACGTTCCACTTAAAACGCAAACGTTCTGCTCGGACCCAGCGACTGACCGCCTCATTCCCTTGTGCCAGCTGTCCGGCGTCGCCGCACTCTCCTTCGACCTGCCCGTCCGACTTTTGCAAGCGCTCAACGTCCATGGGCACGTGTTCGTGGCAGCCGGCAATAGCGTATTGGTCCACGGGGGCCAGCCGCCGGTGTCGGCGAGAGACTTTTTGCGAGGGTTCCGTGCGTCGGCGGGCGTCGGGATCGTGTACCCATCACCGATCGGGCGGCTGGAGGTGAGCCAAGTGGCAGGCTGTGGAAAGAGGATGTGTCTACAAATTTAGTGACAGAGTTGATTCCGGAAGATGTGACGGTGCCTCCCAGTAGCTTCTATGGACAAATGACCACCTGGATAGAACAGAAAGAGCAGACGCTTTGAATGCATATCTTTCGTGGACACGTCTTGTGACACGTTTGTGCGATGCGATGCAAAGGCCTGATTACGAAAGCTGCCATGTAGTAATTCAGAGTGGAAACGTTCGGCGGCTTCAGATCGCTTGGACTGCTATTCAAGGGCAATTGAACCAGCTTGTCACTCCGAAAAAGGTCCACGTGCTACCACGTTTGACGGCCACTGAATTGCATGGGGTTTGTCGGTTGTCAAACTTTCACAGGACGAACGTCGCTCAGTCTCCCAGTGCCAGCTCTTAATTGGTCCCACTTTGCCGAATGATGACGGCGATTGCAAAACCCCGTTCACCATCTCGTGCAGATCAACTACAGTCGGCCCCTGCGCATTCAAGAAGGGGACAACGCGCAAGCTTTCCAGATTGGATTCAACGTGAGTTCACCCTAGAGCCACCGGAAATAGCAGCCAGCGACAATGAAAACCTAGGAATCTAAGCCAGCGTTTCTTTAGCTTCAGGTAAACGGAGAGAATGATCGCCTTGGGCATATCCACCCAGGCAGCTAAGCGGACCCTCGTTCAAGTTCACAGTCTGATGTTCGATTTTGCTTACCCTAGGATGGCATGATGTTTACGTCAGCTTCACTTGAACGACAAATCAAACTTGCAAATGAGTTGTCTGTGTTGGAGGGAGGAAAAAGATGAGCTCCGTCAAAGTCTGAGCTCGCGGCCCGGCTTTGAAATTCATTTCAAGGGCCCAACTGTCTTAGTATCAAGCTAACATGCCTTGACCCAATTCCATGACCAGCCTGGCCCACGGTGCTGGCAAGAACGCGGATTCAACCTACGTACGGTCAGCATGGGCGGTTCTACTACTTTTCAGTTGCGCTATACAGGATGCTGCACTAGTACGCCATGCAAATCATGGCGGCATACTAACAGTGTTACTGGCACTGCAAGTCCGGTCGTGATTGTTAGCATGGGCTGGTATTTAAGCTAGCTAGCGAGTATAATACCTCGCATGCACTTATCCAGTAAAATCTTACATGTAACATGAAATTTCATGCTTATTCTGTCTCCCGTGGCTGCACTCACTGTAATGCAATATATTCACTGCATGCACTACAGCGCGCGAGCAGGCTGGCAAGAATTGTACCTCGAAGGCAGAATCATCGAACGATCGTTGGCAATATGTACCATATACTTACTTATTTAAATGTAACCAAGAGCGCGGCCGGCTAGCTAGTCGATCAGAGCACAGTACATGCATATAGGAATAATCTGTGTGAAACGAAATTGCTGGCCAGCTGGCCCGTGGCCAGTCGTTGCAAATTCCTTCAAGAGCTCGCAAGGAAAGCGGGCCACATTCCTTCTATATTTTACCGGCCGCTGATCATGCCTACATACTCGTAGAACTCACTGAGGTGGTAGACTAGCTCGTTCGCTCAATCCTTTGTACGTATGAGAAAGGCAGGAGTAAAGTTATATTATACTTAGCTTTTGCAGATCTCTTTACATCAAGTCAACTCACTCGAATCTCAAACCGTGTAGACAATCGACACACAGAACTTCTTTAATCTAGCTACGTTACATTTTTCATGATTCTTGCTGTTTACAAGGCCTGGGAAGAGGGGGCGATGTTAACCGAAGCAAGGACCAGAAGCCACCTCGGACCCGGGGCGGCATTGACAGTGCTATTCGCACTTTTGTCAAGGTACTGCCAGAGCAGGACGACGTATGCATTGCCAATCTGCGAAGACAACAGAAGAGGTAGCTTGTTAAGTCCAGGATTGACATGGGATTGGAACTTGCTCACGTAAAATATTGACAAAGAGGATTGTAGACGCACACCTGTCCCTCCCTTTCACGTTTTTCGTACAACAAGCAAACAAGCAGTTCGAGTATCCGATCCTTCTACGCGTTCCCGGTTCAAGGAATCAACAAACCAGTAAGGACCGCTGTTCAAACTAGTTACTTTTTGGCACCGATACAGCACAGCTTTCGACTCACGAGCTACTCTTAACAAAGTGAAGACTCAGACAAGAGATTGACAGCCCTGTTGCTGATTGCAAACTCATGAGCGGTTGATCTCATCCTCTCTTTGAGATGAAGCTACATCTTTGGGATGTGGAGTTTGGCAGCGAAGGTGGACTTACCATAGGTACTTCAGGCACAAGGACAGTGAGGATGGCAGCCTCGCGACCTAGTTGACTGTAAGCAACAGCGGTCGGAGGAGGAGCGGTCGCATTGCGAGCCCGCAGCAGGGTGAAGAAGGTTAAAAAAGTGGGAACGGTCAGATTGAACCTGCAAAGTCATGAGTGCAAGTGTTGATACATGTTGCACAACTACGAGCAAGATGTCTGAGAACCCTAGCTTCATTCAAATGGGTCATCTGACTAATATGAAACCCTTAATCAGAAGGAATAAGAAGGACAAGGTTGGCACGAACTCATTATATCCAGAAAAGGAACGTCTCGAAAGAAGTCTTCGAAGGAGGGCACTCAGATCAGAACGAGCAAAATAACCTAGATTGACTTGCTGTTTCAGCACGGGGAGACCTCTTGACCTGATTAAGAGTCTCGGTAAGGTTGTGATGCAAAGGCTGAAACGAGTTATAGTTGCACAGATGTCAACATTCAAGCCCGACTAAGTGTAGGGGATCTCCCCTTATATGCAGTCTGACAGAGTTAAGGCAGACCAGTCGCTCCTGCACTACATACTTATGCTACTGTAGGTAGCTTTTCCGCATCAAAAGCACAGAGAATAGAACGTCACTTACGGAATGGGGCCGTACAACCCTGGCACCACTAGATGAAACTGTGGGGCGAAAAACTCCTCAGCGATGTTTTGGAGGCTGATGCTGCTGTTGCTCAGCGCCGCTTGTAGCTTTTCTGTAGCATTGCCCACCGCCGGCTGCGTGAAGTTTGCAGGCAGTGTGGCATTTGCGGAAGTTGTGACGTTTGTGGTGACGTTGCTTGACGTCACAAATATTTCAGGCAAGGTTCGCGTCACCACTGTGCCGTTGAAAGCGGGGGCGATGCTTGTGAACTTCATCCGCCACGTGGAGTTCTGCTTTTGCCATGCGGAAGTCAGGAAGTAATTCTCGTTGGGCTGCAGCGGAAAAAGAAGATGGGGCCTTGGCCTACAAACATCTTCGCTGATTTTCTCTGCAATGTGTTTTGAGATGACCAGCTTTTTGAATGCTCACACAGCCGCGCTGAAACACTTAAAACGATCCCAAGTGAAAGCATAAAAAAGTTACTCGGGCAGAAATTCCATTGGTACATATTCAACTGCAGTGGAACAGCTCAAAGGCTGCTCGAAGTTGCTGATGTTGGCAGCTCTCAAATGCAGTACTCCCAACGCCCCTTGAAAGTCTGAAGCCCCTTACCTTTCCTGTGTTGAAAACATCCACATAAGCGGTGTTGTTCTCATCGATGATGAAGAAGATTTGTTCTTGAAAGGTCACGTTTGTGTTTGGATCTGGTGCCACTAAGGCAAAGGTGTTCGCCACAACAGTGTCATTAGCAGGCAACCTGCAAAGAAACGTACAAAGTGTATCTGATTATGCTAGGCAGGGCACTGATTCATTACGCGGATTGCAACCTCTACGCATTACTGAGAACGGGCACCTCTACCACAGAACGTCTATAGCTACTTCCAAGGAGGTGATTGCTCAACCCCACAGCAGCTGAAACAGAAGAATCTGGGGGCATTTAAGGCGAGTAGAGTACTGAGCATTGAATGCAGCTCAAGTAAGGTATGGTAAGCCCCTGAAAATATCCTAACCAAACCCAATCGTCTCCAGTGCCCTCTTGAAAATCTCAACCAATCGAACCCGGCTTCTTAGAAAGGGCTTTACATCACAGGGTGGGTTTGAGCTGTAGTAAACTTACGTCAAGGGAGCCGCTATGTTGGCGACGACGAATTGGACGCTGGGATCAAGGAACTGGTCTGCTCCAGAGATGTTTCCTGAGATGATGTAGCCAAGGAGGTTGACATTAGTACTCTGCACCTCCCGGAAGAGCGCCACGCTCTCATTGGCCGACAGAGAGCCGTTGCTGAGAACCTGCGCCCTGGTGCTAGAAGCTGCAACAAGCAGTAGTGTGCAGAACAGGGCGGAGAGCAAGGCGCGGCGAGCCATGTTACTGCTGAGCTGCAAAGAGCTGGCGAGCTTTGGGTTAGGCAGCGGCTTGTGAAGAACTGAGCTCGATTTGTGAATCAAAGGACCAAGCTTATAAACCGCTGAAACTCGGATGCTGTCGCCGGATGCTGCTGCTGCTCAATCGATTTTGAGTGAACGCTGAAATTTCTGGCTCTGGCCTAGACTGAGCTCTCTCCCTACGTAGCTGCTGACTAAGCAAAGGGGCCTCCCTAAACATGTACTTTTCGTCAATCACGCGTTCTGACTTGTCACGAAAGCCCGCCTGACCAGCAAACATTTGTAAAGGCTGACGCCAGTAAATCAAAGGGCGCAACTTATTAAAAAATGCGGGAGTGCTAATATTTCAGCAGTCCCCGAGTCAGCGCCACATGGCTTTAGCCTTTAGGCAGCTGAGATGCAGATGCATCATTTGGGAACTCACGCATAAAGTGGAAGACGTGGCGAAGGGCCCCAGCTTGACGAGCAAATGCCAGCTTTCACCGTCCGTTTCGGAAATCCTGGCAGAACGGTAGGCTATGGATGTCGACATACGTGCCGTACGGTCGCGTGACCCGACTTCTGGACCGCGCGAGCTCCACAGACAGCGAGTGAAAGTTCGTCGCGCAAACACAGCAGAACGGCCCGGCCAGGTTCCGGTTCCGAGGGGGTCAATATTTCTGCGCGTCAAATTTCAATATTCGAAAAAAAGCGCGCGCTGAAAATACGGGAAATCTCCAGGGCTGGCGGCGCTGGCGGATCCAATGATTCATGCAATGATCTTCAATTTTGTTGGAGGGCGCGGCCGCGCCAAGCGCTAGGCCGCGGCCGCGCCAGTGTGCAGTGTCGCCTACTACTGCGCGCGTGGTAGCGCAAGCTAGTACATTTTAACTGAGTGATCGAGCTACGGCTATTGGAAAGTTGGTCGCGCCCGCGACGCCAAAATGAGGAGCTTTGAGGGAAGCCGTCTGCCAGTGCCTAACACTTACACTCCTGGCCGATCTTAGCTGTAAGCGCGGAGCGCGCACTTTCTTGCTGAACGGGCCGCGCAGTGAGCAACACTCAGGTCCTCATGTGAAAGGTTCTAGTGGCACTATCGGCCAGCACATGCTAATTTCGACGCTGCCGTTCATGTACTATGACACCATGTGCACGACCGATGCAGAAAGCGGTGCAACCAGGTTTGTTGTGTGTCACATTCGGAACACAAGCGGACCAATGGTTGAATTGGTTCACAACAAGACTCCAGTACTTGAACGGCAGCTGCGCATGAGCATTTCAGACAATGGTAACCTTCTATGCAGATCGGCGAAAAGCTACTCCTACACAAGCAGGTCTCGCTGCGTGTGCCCTAGTCAAAGGCTGTAGCACGAAAACCCTTGTGCAGAATTCGTTAATAATCGAGACATTGTGCGAAAGGCTACTGCTTTACGTAAACAATTCCTATGCAGCCTGCAATATAGCTGCACACCAGTTTCAAATGTGACCAGTATAATACACCGAGAAGAGCCTAGCCGACGAGTGTTTCTGGAAGGCCCCAGGGGGTCACATAATTCTCCTGACTCCTTATTATTGCCGGCCTGACGTCATCTCCCGGAACTCGTCTTCCACCTGTTGCAAGGGGAAACAGCGAGATCGAAGCCGTCAAGGGTCTGGAAGAATCCTTACTTATTGTCCAGGCTTTCAAGAACGCCGCGCGATCGAATCTGATAAGCACCAAGCAGGAGGTGTTTGACGAAGGAGATTCCTTTTTCTTTCCAGGGCCACCTATTGCAAGCTGGAAACAGCCTGTCAGCGAGTTCCGTTTGCAAAGCGGGCGCAAGAGTTGTATTTCATTAGTGTTTCGTCAAAGCCGTGTACGAAAAGTAACTACTGTAATCTAGTGGCCTTGATGCTCCACACGAAGGAGCTCTTAAAGTTGCAGGTAACGGAGGATTCAAAGGTTGGGTGCTTGTACCGTTGGATATTCAAAGCAACGAGGTTCGTGGGACAATTGTCTCTCGTTGTCGCAAGCGGTGGTTACCAGAACGTAAAAGCATCAAGCGAGGGGTTCAAAAGTAGGAGAGGCATCAAGAAACTCTAATCAAGCCCCCACTTCGACCCCGTCCCTCCGGCAGAAAATTTCGAGCCCTTCAATCTGTCCTTCTTAGCCGATTGAGAGTATCCACGCATACCAAGTAAGATGCTCCGCGCTGACCCCTCAAGGGCAAGGCTATCGTAACCCCATTCAGCCAAACGCTCACCCTTTTGAGGACGTCATCAACCGACTCCGCTTCCGTCACGGTCTCCGTCTTTGCTTGGTCCTTCTTGGCTTTGATCTTGAGCTCCTTAGCGCGCGTCTCCAAGTTTTTCTCGCGCTTCGTTTCCCGTTCGAGCATCTAAGAAACGCCAGAGCATCTCGTGGGAAAAGGTCGGGTGCACAATACCAAGGGCCGTATTTGGAAGAAGATAATACTGATCTGTGACTTCAGGACAATTTGGCTGTTTTGAGTGTCTGAACGTTAAGGCCGAGGGCTCGTTCTTCACTTGGACTTTGAATGCTCGTACAATTTGAGGACCGACAGAGCGATCCGTCTTTCTGGTCAGATATGGCTGATCAGTATACTGCAGCTAAGGATATCAATCGACTCACGATGCCAATTCAGGAATCATTTATCACTTTCTTGCGAACCGACGTTGAGCCTCAAGATTCTCAGATAAAGCGCTTCCAGCCTGCTTCTTAGCCACCAGTAACATCAACCCGCTGATTTTGCACAGTCCCCAATTGTGAAATGAACCGGGCTCCCTGTTGGCACTTCTCTCACCTGGGCGATGGACTGTTTCTCATTGGGCTGCATGACCGCCAGCCCCTCGCAGAAGTCGAGCAGCGTGGTGCTTCCGTCGGAGGCTCCGGCGGCGAGCATCTTGCCGGACTCTTGCACGCGGAACGAGGTCAGCCCGATGCCCTCGTCCATAACCTGGGGCCAAACCAACATGGTTAACGAGGGCTTTACCAAAATGAGAACCGGATTATCTTACTTTGGATGTCATTCAGTTTTACGGGTCGCTTTTATCCACGTTTCGACTTTCACTCATTTTCAGGGGGAGGAAAGCGTCTCATCGACCCAGATAGGTTGATCTGATCCGCCTGCTTTCCGCCCGTCGATTCGATCCGCCGTTTTCGATCCCCATCGCTCTCTGCGTCTCCATGCTTCTCGCTATCAAGCGCGACTTTCTACATTCTGATGTATGATCAAGAATCGGATCGATGCCCCAACGCAGATCGTGGAGGTTTCCTACAAATCAATAGCCCAAATAAGATTGCCACCCAAGCACTGATTCTAAGTCCCACCTTGACTGTGAGCGTGGGGTCGTTCTGTTTGTAGAAGTAGTCCCACACGTCGAGCGAGCCGTCCTTCTTTGACGTGAAGAAGACCCCGGGCCGCGTAGGGCTCCACGTGGCGCCCGTGATGTAACTGCTGTGATACCTGCGAGTGACACGTGCCATGACGTGAGAAGCATGTGGCAGAGGAGGGATGAACTGCACAAGCAGAATCTTTGGGCGGCGATGCATATATGAACAGCTTGTTGCAACATTGGGTAGACGCTTCGCTGCCAATCAACCTCTGGTTGCAATGGAACTGAGGAGAAAGCAAGTTTTGGCGGTGTCTATAGACAGAACCAGCCCTCAATCGCTGGACACAGGATTCGCGGATGCCTGTCTTGACAACGCCCTTAGCCGGAGTGTTCCTTTGCGTATGTCAGCAAACGACAAGCGGTGAAAAGGCTGATGTCACGCGACGTACCCGCTGAGCACCGGAATCAGGACCCTTTTCAAGGCGACAGGCCTTATAATCCCGGAAACGATCTCTCCGGATCATTTTTTGTCCAAATCCCTGAATCGACAGGCCGCCCCAAGCCTGGACCAGGCGACACGTGACGTCAGCGGAGCCCGGTACGTACCTGGTTGTCATGATGGCGGTCCGGAGGTCCTCGTTCCAAATGCGCGCCGTCCAGTCGCCCGCGCTGAGGAAGTACTTAGGGTAGAAGGGGCTGCGCTCCAGCGCGCAAACCGGGCCGTGGTGACCCTGGTAGCTCGCCGTAACCCGGTCGGTTGCAAGTTTCGCCTGAAAACCAAGGTTAAGGGATGGGTTACCTCCATAACAAGTAATCTGCCTCTAAAACAACCGGTGGTGACCCTGGTAGCTCGCCGTAACCCGGTCGGTGGCGACCTTGGCCTGGAGAACAAGATGGTGTGCAAAGTGATTTGCTTATGTCCGAGAATGGCTTGCCTGCTGAGAAAATTTTCTACTTGAGCTATTCGACTAGTACCGTTTAGGAGGTGTGATGAGCGGGTTTCGTAGCAATCACCGAGAGACAATTTCCTCATCTTGTCATAATATGAGAGGGTTTGCCCTCTGGACAGATCCTTGGATTTCGCGCTGCTTGATACGTTGAGAAAAAAGATGAGCGGGTTGAGTAGCCAATCACCGACAAGATAAAGTTCTGAAGCTCATCGATGCGAGCCTCCAAACCAAAGCAGGGCACACTGGCGGAGCGCAAAGAGACGGCCATTGAAGGGTTCCACTCCTCAAGTAGCGGTAGCAGCCGTGAATAGCTGCTGGTTGCATCCGTAAGTCGTGGTTATAGTCCTCACTTGCGGTACTCAGCATCTTCATCGGCTCCTTCCTTCTTACCCTGCGACGCGACCCGCCAGCTTCAACCATCTCAAGTAGGCCACAAACGTAGCTATGCTGAACTCCCAGGGACTCAGATTGCATAATGTCCAAAACCGTGAACTTGAATGCTGAGTTTCTCACCTTCCTGTTGCACGCCAGCACGATGCCCTCCTCCGTACCCCCCACAATCTCAGCCTTCGTCTCAGGAACTCAGAGAGGCAAACTGTCCGAAGCCTCTGGAGTGGAAGACATGAAAGTTTTCGAACGCCTCACCTTTCTGTTGCACGCCAGCACGATGCCCTCCTCCGTGCCCACCATGAACTTGCCGGCGCCGCCCGCGGCCTCGTACTCCATGCTCACACCACCCAATATCACGTTCGAGCCTTTCTCCTGCAGACAACAATATGATGACCTCAGCCTAAGCCTGCCAGCTAAAGACTGAAAATCCAACATTCCAGATGCGGAATAGGGAAGAGGAATTCCATACCGAAAACATGATCGCTCAGATCCTGTAGAACAGAACAACAAGGCTCGGCTTTTCACCTGGAGCACTAGGGACTCGACGGGCTCGCCTAGCCGCCGCGTGTCCCACCACATGACGCTGCCGTCAGTACTGACGCTCGCGCACTCCGTTCCGGTCTTGCTCGTCAGCCACACCACGTCGTACACCGGATCGCTGCGCGAGCGGAATGAACAGGGATTGCATTGCGTCAGAAGAACTGCGAGTCTCCTTTGGTGATTGCAGACTCCTAGTGGGTCAGCAATCGTTCGCAATGCCCTTCTAATTACGAGAAACGTTCTCCATAATGGCACCGCACGACAGGGAGTCCTAGGTACTGATATTTCTTTTCAGGTAACAAAGTGCTGCGATTCTCGACCAAAGATGTTCGTAAGATTGTCTCCAATATCGGAACCACTACGCATCCCTTTGCATTTAGGAGCGCGGCCGCTCAGGATTGGAGTGGGCTCTGCGTCAAACTTGCACAGCAGGGTGTCACTCACGAAGCGTGGCAGCTTAATCTCCGGTTATTGACGTGTTTTGGGGAATTCAGCACAGGGGTTTATGCGGTTTAAGCAGTCCCCCGCCGGCATCGCTCTTCGGTCGATGCAAAAGCTTACTTGCCGAGAAACGTTTTCATAGAACAAAATGGTTCGCGTTCTTACCTATGTGACCGTTCGATTGGGGACGAGTCCACAGGCGCCGACCCCTTCCGAGTGTCAAAGTACGACACCTGTCCGTTGTACAGCCCAGCAGCCAGCACGTTTGGATCTTTGGGATTGTAGACTAAGCAGCACGCCTGGCTCGTCGGCGTGAGCTCCGTTTCCGGCGTATTCGGGTTGCTGATGTCCCAGATGTAACTGCTGGTCGGCATGTCTTCCGGCATTTGCTGGAACTGTAAGATTGGAGAAGAGCACCAAGAGTTCTTTCTTTGTCGAACTGCCTTCCGGTCGCCGTAAGCGCAATTCCTTCTCCTAGAGTCTTAGCCGGAAAACGGACTGTCCTTTGGTGTCACTGCTGGTCGGCATGTGTTTCGACAATTGCTGGAACTTTAAGAATGGAAGAAAGCAACAAAACTTTGTCCCTTGTGGACTGGCGTTCCCGGTTGGTACTGCATTCGTAAGTTTGACCACACAGATATAGAGAAATCGAATGTGCTGAGAGTTGATGGCGGAAGAAGTTTCAGTATTGATACTTGCTGCTGCTCGGTATGTTGTCCGGCATCTGCTGGAAATACGCGATCAAAACGAGGACTACGGGCGCCCAACCCGTTGGATCTCAAAGTTTCTTGTTCAACTTCTTTCAAGATTGCAGTCGCGTCGTGGTTTAACAGAGGTGTCGTCTATTCAAGCCGTTTACTGTACAAGAGCGCTTATTTGCAAGTTCGAGAAGCTTCGAGCGGCTAGAATCTCGATCCAGACCGAAGGGAGTTGAGATTTTCGGGGTCAACTGCGCAGTTGCTCGACTTTGTGACTATCCCTTCTCGTTTGAAAGAACGAGGGCGCGTGGATCCCAGTCCCTACGTAGTGCAGCGAAGGCTTCTGCAGATTAAGCGTACAAGTCTGCAAAAAGAGACAAAGCCACAATGCAGGATCCCAGCTTACCTGTAGGATGGAATACGCGACGGCCAGCTTGCGCGCCCCGTCGGGGTACCACGAGATATACGACGCCGCGCGCCGGATGCGCTGCGTCGGCTCCCGGAAGACGGTCAGCGTCTTGGCGTACGGCTGCTCGCTGCTGTGGTCGGCGACGCTGCCGGAGAAGTACTCCTCGTATATGTCGATCGCGTTGTTCTGTTTCAATAGCGTATCGACCTGAGAAAGTGGAATATGTTGCAAAGTCAGCCAGAGATGGGGGTCCTCCGACCTCGAAAAGGTGTTTTTAATGAGGGAAAAGACGTGCAGATGATAGGATAACAGCGCTGCCGGAAGAGTACCCCTCGTTTATGTCGATCGCGTTGTTCTGCTTGAATAGCTTATCGACCTGAAAGAGAGGATACCAAGAGAACGGTGAGAAAGTGATTGTGTAAATGCGTCGCAATGAGACAGAAATCAGGCTGTCACGTCTGCACAGAGGAGCCAGAAAAGAAGGCCCCCTTAGAGACTATCTGTATCCTTCTGCAGCAACAGATTCTGCCACGAAATGAGGACCAAATATTATTCAAGGGGAGAAGTACCACTTTGTGGTGCTAGTGATCGTAAGGCCACGACAAGGAGCTGTTGTCCGATTGCAATAGGCTTTCCATCTCCGAACAGAGGTTTCGTTCCCCGTTCCGGGTCTTCGATCCCCCGTTTTCTTTAGAGATGTATACCTCTAGAGCAACCGAGTGGACATTGCTTTCACATTGTTCAAAATAATCTTGACCGCTTCCACTGCAACACCCTCGTCTAACCTCTATACTTTCATCGACTCAGCGACCACCTCCTTTGCTATGTTCTCCCGTTTTAGCTTTGTGCGTGCTTCAGCCTTGACTAGGAAACGGAACCAGGAGAATGGAAACCGTCAATCGCGCTCCGTGTTTCACGTAGTCCTCGTCGACCTCCTATTAATTACGGAAATGGTGTTGTGTGTTCCCGAGTTTTAGGTCAACAGAAAAGAGGCAAACGGTCCCTCACCTTATCTCCCAGAACCTTGATTGCCCGTATGTAATCTTCATCCTTCTCCACTTTCTTCCTATAGCGTATCGTGTGCTCCAGCTCCTGTGGATCCACGTCCTTGGGCCAACCCCCCTCCGTGTGCAGCATGCCCTGACTCCCAAACGAGAAGCGCTCCGTGTTAACCTGTACAAGTAGGTGAATATTTGAAACCCCCAACAATAAGTGGATCGTAAGAAGTTTATGAAGAAGCTGTGTAGAGTGTCAGAGAAAATGCGGCTTATAATGAGGTAATAAACCTGCATGATAGGCCCTCTTGAGGTTGATGATTTTCGCACAGGCAGTCTTGATGAAGCGAGAATCTGCTGCTGGTGAGTGAACACGTTCTGCCTTCTCTTGGGTCAGTTGCGCAGCCTTGAAAAGTCCCCCCACACCCTCTCCTCCCTCGAGGCTTTGCGTGACCCGCTCATAAGGATGACAAATGATGCCACATTTTTTGCGTGAAGTGAAGTCTGCCCAGGCCAGAGGATTGACGGATACGAAGGCAGACTGCGACCTTGTAGAAGAAAGATTCGAAGGTGAAACCTCGAGACTGCCCTTATTGTCTCCTCTCAGAGTGTAGCTCCCAGTGCACATCGAGTACGTCTGGTTGGCCTCCTCGCTTCTTTCAGCAAGTGAGGCCTATAGCCATCTTCCTCTCACTCCTTCACGAAGCACCCTGGCATGCCGTGAATGGTGCAATAGATTGTATGGCAGTATCTTGCTCAGAGTGTGCTTTATCTTGAATTTCTTAAAACTGTTCTTGCTCCTATACTCGGTGCCTCCTCCACATGCCCGCAGTTGGAACTCAAGCAAGAGGCACTTTCTCTTCGGCACTTAGTTCGCGGCCGTGTCGATCTGACTGGCCTAAACACACTCTGAACCTCTGTATATCAGCAACTTGTTTTCCTTCAAAGAGAAAGCCTCAGACGCGGAGCGAAGGACAGCCAGCATTCCACCACTCCTCTGTCTAGCTGCCACTATCAGCAGTTTTGGCTTCAAGTAGGCCTGTGACACTCTCTATTGTTGCAGCTCCTGGCCTTGGGCAGAGTGTGCAAATCAAGCAACCTCAAAAATGCGGATCTTCCATAACCATCACTGAGAACACCACCACCAGAAGCTGATACACTCCCCTAGAATAGTCATGATAAGCTTGAGTTTCCATTAGAACGGAGCTAATACTGAAATCTAGACTCAAAACCATTCACGTGCCCCGCACCTATGCCCACCCTAAACCCTCTGCTAACCCCACCCGTCCCGGTATTACATTCTGAGCTTATTCTCCATTTTTTTAAATGACGCAAATAATCTTTGAGCCATGACCACCACCAGCAAAAAGTGCAGAGCTGGAGATCAGTACGCTACACGTCGCGGTTCGCATCTTTATGATCATTTTTTCTGAAGCCATCCAATCTGAGATAATGACCAGCACTCCAAGCACGGTAAATGCTGGATGCACCCTGCACGGTGCCCTTAATATACTGCTATCTTCCTATTCTCTAAAATCCTAGATTGGAAAGCAGGACTCAAAGAGTAGAAACACAATCTGGTAAGCTTCTGGTGGCTGCACCCCTTACCTCGTGCTCGGACATTTCTGGGACAACTTGCACATTGGTGACACATGGATTCCGTTCCATGTGGTTCTCAGCTAGAGCTGGTTCCGGACGCAGGTCCACCAGGACCTCTGCCGGACTGTCCGAGAACTTTGCATGCCGTCCAAACTCCTTGCGCTGCTTCTGGTACATATAGTAGATCTCCATAATCAAGGGGTTGATGGTCCCGTCTGAAAATTCTCTTTGGTAAATCTGACTGAGGCTGAAAGTGCGTATGTGATTTACTCTGATGAACTTCACAAAGAATAGGGCAAGTAGCTGATTCAGGCCCCTTGGGTTCAACTGCCTGAGTTCTGAGAATGTTTGCGCGACCAGCTGCGCATGGTGTGTCGTTGTTTGAACAGCTGCATCCGAATCAGCTCGTCAAATTAAGCTGCTTATCACCCAAGCATTGCTACCCTGAGCTGCCCAGCTCTGAAAAGCTGAGATGCGGTCTACATTAAGTGCGCACCTAGTTTGTTGCCCTCGAGGCTGGATTCTTGCATCTCAATTCAGGCTCGGGACTCTAGTGGCCTGCTTTTGTTTTGCAGTTTTTATACAAGGGAACCGAAATACGGCAAGAAGAACCAGCTCTTCCCTCCATAATATGAATCTTCTGGGTTGTGTCCCCTTCGTATCTTCCAGCTCAAAGCTACAGCCTACAGCTTACTGGAGACGCGACTCATGGCAGGTGCTTCCAAGCTCAGCTCATCCGTTTCACCCGGCGCCCTTCATGGCGAACCAATCCCATGCATGAATACAGTTTTTAAGTTCCTTTCTTTGTTTTCATTCTACCTCGGGCAGCAGGCTATTAGGAAGGGGCGTTTTGTGTGAAGCTTCAAGAGGGTGTTACTGTTACAGAAAGGAAGAGTACCTATTTCTGCATAGGACTGAAGCACGCCAGGGTGGCACGCCTTAACCCGCTTACTAACAGTATAAAGTCCCCATAACGCCGCAGTAACCAGTGGTTTACCTGCCACGCTGAAATAATTCCCCCTGCCTTAAATACGGGGGTGTACAGTGTTGGTACTTTAACAGTACTACCTAGTATTATCAAAGCACGATTCGCAGGCTTGCCTCTTGCCAGTGCATAGTACATACTGCACACAACGACACGCGACATACCGTTGAACCTTCTGCTGCGCGCGCGCAGGCAGGGACAAGAATGGAGGGTCAGATGAGATATCGACGGCTGTGTTTCTATGTCAGAAAGTGACGTCCGATCGGGTGCTTCAGGAATCAGGATTACACCGGCGCCGTCCGGCGGCTTCTAGCTTGACGTCACACCTCTGTCAGATGTTGCCGATGTGTTCATCAAAAGAAATAATTCGTCCAGAGAACAAGCTTCCTAGTGGCTAGAAAAGACGCACAAACTAGGATCCGAGGGTCTGTTTCTAATCAGAATTCAGAATAAAAGTAGGCTAAAATCGAAAGTCTAACGTTATCGCGTACATGTCAACGGGATACGGTCGTCAAAGCAGTACGGCTCTTCTCATTGGTCAAAGTCGCGCGACCAAATACTTATTACCCGATCTTTGAGGGAGTGCAGACTTTCGTCATCCGCCAAGTGGCGCACTGCCATTGAACCTGGGCGCAACGAGAGATTTGGGCAACCTCTCTCGGGGCTTACGGAAAATGCTTTCCTGGCTTGACGGTAACCGCTCAAACTTGCGTGGAAGGGGGGCCGCCATGATTGTGTGCATTGTGCAACCCCTCTTCTCCCCAGCCTGTCACTTGCAGCTTCCTATTGGGTCCAAAATTGACTTCAGAGGGACTTCAGAAGTTAGAAGTTAGAACCCATTTCTGCTAGTGGTTGCGTCACGGTATTACGCGGGATTGTCCAAAGCACAAGCCAGCCGGTTAGCTACCTCGACGCTCACGGCGCTTACCCCCATATCAAAAGCCCAATCTGTGATTGCTAACAAGAGTTCGCAGGGTACATATATATTCGACGTTTAGGGGTTTGCTCCTGGCCTTCTCTGCAGTCAGCTGCTTTCACGAACGTTCCAGCTCCAGGCCCTCTCCTACAGTACAAGTCACTCCCTTTGAAGCCTGCTGGTGCCTCGCAATACCCATTTATACTGAGCTGCGAAGAATTTTGAGGTCTCAGCTGGGTGGCGATCAACAGAAAGCAAAACGTGCACTGCAATCAAAAGAGGCTTTTGGACACACGCCTGCTTTACTTACAAGCGCTGACATGCGATCGTAGAGACTGATCCAGGCGATCATGCCGCTCTTCCCTCACATGCCCGCTGCAGAAGCTTAACATTGATAACACAAGACCTGTGAGACAATGACGGGCCTTGTTGAACCCCGAGGCAATGATTGACGAGCGGGCGGGCGGCGGCACCTCTAAACGCCTGGCGGCTGACTGCTGACGTCATCGCACACGCAATGCCACAGTAAGGAGCAATGCGCAAAAAACCCCCGAGATGCGGCATTCGAATTCACTACAAAACAGACTCAGCCAAAGTGGTATGAGGCGTAGATCAGTGAAGGAAGAAGCAAGCAGGCTCTGAGGGACTGGAGGCCTTTCCTGAGGGCGTGAAGGTGAGAAAAAGAGTGGGTTGACGGCAGGAAGTCTGAATGCAACCTTCACATGTGGAGTGTTTCTTTGATCCAACGCACAAGACGTCGGACGCTAGGTCTGAAATGCATTGTCTGCAATTACAAGTAAGTTTTGCAGGCCTAAAGAGAAAGAAAAGATCTGAGGCAGGCTTCCTTGGGTTGACTCCGATTTTCTCTTATAAATATTTGTTGTGGTTGGAAAGTTTTGTCAGAGTGCACTGTTTCGATTCTGTCATCTTATGTGGACACTTCTCTAGATGGAGGGTGTAATGCCGAGGGTGGTGCAGTGAGAGGAGCTAAGTGGAAGAGAAGCGGACTTATTCTGAGCTAGTTTGACACCTCATTGAGAAGTGAGATAATGCTGTGCATCTTATGGATCGTCTTGTTTGCAGAGGCACTTCTGTTAAACAGGCGTACGTTTTCCAGTGCTTCTCCGCTTCTTTCCGTGCTGTTGCCTTCTAGATAAGGGACTTTGAACCCGCACGCTCCTTCAGTGATAATTAGCCCTACCTGTGCGCCTTCAGTGTTTGCTGATGTAAGCTGTTTGTTTTGTCCTCTTCTTCTTTGGTTTCTCCTTGTTTCTATGGTTTCAAAAGTCCCTTGGGTCCACTTTTTAGCCAGTGCTTGAGAAGCATACCCACCTGAAAAAGGCATGGGGGGATGAGGAGAATTGTGCAAGCTGTCTAAGAGCTAAGACATCTAAGAATGATGTCAAAGAGAGGTTGTGGCTTGAAGGTAACAATGCTGAGGGACGCTGAAAAGGGTAAACGCACTCCAGGTTTTGCACAGTGGCAGAATAGGAAGCTCTTCCAAGCAGACTACGAGTACTGTTCCAAAGTTTACCCACGGAACCTTTTTGAAGAGTCACTGCGCTTTTGAAGCTGCATCTCCGCTGGTGATCATTTTCTGAAAGGTGTCGTCACTTTGAGGAGCTCGCTGAGGTGTCCTTTTGTGTACTGAGCCAAACGCCTTGACTTTCGTGTGACGACATTTGTCCAATTGCAGTGCTCTTTCTCAGCCACAGTTTCCTGCTCTAAACGCCGGCGCAGTCAGGTGATCTATGGAAGCTTCTGATTGAAGTTCTTTTGCTCTTCGCCTGTCCTACTGCTCCCTACTACCCCGATCAAGCCCGGAGTAAGGCAAGTCTTTCCCTCTCACACAGGCCCGCAATTGCCCCAAGCTAACGAACCCCGTTTTGGCTCCTGCAGACTGCTGATTTCTCCAACTTCATAAAAGAGCAGTGCCCGAATGGGAAACATGAATGGAGAGCCTACTAGAGACGAGTTACGAGAGCGGGCAAACCGAGCGTTGGCGGACTTGGCAGCCTATCAGGGGGGGGGCAGCTACGTCTGGGTAGTGGTTCGCGAAGGGGAGAAAATAGGGGGGTGCTCCACCAACCTGCGGCCGTACCAGGACGCGTTTGAGAACGAGGTTATGCAGGCTGTGTGAGTGCAATTCCGGGGGACTTATCGTTGACTCTCTCCTTTTTCCCCCAACATGACCGGCTTTCGCTCCACGCTTTGCCACTCCTCATTTTCTTTTCACTTACTCTGCTGAAGTCCCGTTGACTCCCTCCTTTTCCCCCCCACATGAATCGGCTTCTTCGCTCCACGCTTTGCCACTACTCTGTTCTCTCCTCTTCTTTCTCGTTGCTCTTGCTACTCGAATTTGATGTTCTTTTCACTTACTTTGCTGAAGTCCCGTTGACTCCTTCGTTTCCCCCCCACACGAATTGGCATTTGATCCATGCTTTGCGACTCCTATGTTTTATCTTCTCCTTCTCGTTGCTCTTGCTACTTGGGCTGACGTCCTTCTTCTTGACTAAGTTGCCCAAGCTACTTAAAAGGCCCCCGGATAGGAATGTATGCCAGTCTCTTTGAGTGTCTCGTGTGCAATGGCAGAAGGAGAGGAGTTTGACGGGTGAAGACTTTTTGTCACGTATGGGTTGCTGGGTTGCTGTCAATCCTAAGTCCGTTCGGCCCGAGGGGGTGCGATGGTGAGACCTCTGCAGATGTTATATGGTCAAGGGCTGAAGCTGCCTTTGCCGACCCCGACCTTTGACCCACTCTTTCCCCACGTAAAGCTGCGACGGAACGCTTGAGCTTGGCTTTCGCACAAACTGCAGTTTTAAAACCCGAGGCAGAGTCCATGGGTCTTTGTCTCGAAATTTCCTTCACCTACCCCTCTTCGTAAGCCTTGCTCTGCCTGATAAACAATCTGCTCAAACCGCTTCGCAAAGAAACGACTCGATTCCTTGTACGTATGACTTTGCTTTTGCTGGCAGATATCTTGCTGTTTGCAGAGCGATTTACATACGTGCGACTGGGGACGCGCTGCCCAATACGGAGGCGAACTTTGGTTAGCATATCACACGACTCCTTATACGTGTGACCTTGCTTTCTGCAGACCGATGGAGATCTGTGCGATCGGCAACGCGCTGCCCAAAAAGGAAGTTGACCTTTGCGTATAGGATATCGTACATTCACTTATACGTACAGTTTCTGATATGTACGCCCTTGCTTTCCGCAGACCGATGGAGATCTGTGCGACTGGCGACGCGCTCCCAAAGACGGAGGCGACCTTTGCTCAGAACACCAGGACAAGGCACACGGACCTGCACCCCATCGTGGCCGTTCTCATGGCGAAGCTGAACGAGATCAACGGCCACAACTCGCCCAGGACAATGGCCATCAAACACCCCGACACGGTGAGCCCAAATGATGGGGCCCGCTGATTCGCATTCTCTGTTGCCGAAGCGGTTGATTTGTTTTGATCATTGTTTTTCCGAGTGAGAAGGTGAGGCTTAAAGCAGTGAAGAGTTTGAACGTGATAAGGGGGTTTCTGCGAAATCGGACAGCCTCCGGATCGCCGCGCATCTGCCCACTTGGACGTAAAGTTAGCGCTGCAGCAGTCGATTGGCCAGTCTCATATCGGATCTCCGACTTGTCGAGCCAGGTCCTCTTTCATCGGGAATGGTGTTCTTAACGTTATAGCTCCTTCCAAATCGATTGAACCAGAACCGTTTGTTTCCGGGAGCACATACATTAGGAGAACCTTCCGAAGCTGTTCCAATCAAGCCTCACCGGTCAAGTGCTTTGTATCTCAGCATGTCTATCCTCTGAACGGATATGTTTGCAGAGAAAGTCTTAATAATGATTCCAGACAGACTCTCACCTCGCAAGTAGTTCTTCCCCGCAGCTTCGTCTTTGGTTGTCGGTCCTGAGGAGTGCATAACTCTGCGGAAATCCTTCTTTGGAGCTTTCTAGGCAGGCTCTCATATCTGCAGTTCCTTCTTCCCCGCACCTTCCCTTCCGCATCACCTAAACGTTTCTTCAAGTCGTTCCGGGGCAGACTCTCTGTTTTTTACCCACTGTAAATCGAAATACAAATTTGTATTGATCCTAACACCGGCTCCGCCTGGAAAGTTCCCGCTTTAAGCCCATGAACATGCGGTCTCAGAATTCACCCCGGATTAAAGATCGATCGGACTGAAAAGCCCGCTTTTCTGGATCGAGACTTGTTTCTTCCTTCATGCACTGAAGACGGGTCTGGAAGTGGGTTCTTATGAACTGTCCCCACAGCTCCCCTCCTGGTTCCCGCATCACCTGTGGTGAGGACTTTCGCTTCCAAGGCGTTTCGAGGCCGACTCTCACTTCGAAACTCCTTTTCCCTGCAGCTCCCCCCCTGGTTTCCGCAACATCTGGAATTTTGAAGGCGTTTCCAGGCAGAATCTAAGTTTGTTATTGCATTTTGTCCGCAGCTCCTCCCCTGGTTCCCGCATCACTTAGAATTTTGAAGGCATCTTCAGGCAGAATCTAACTTTGTTATTGCTTTTTTTCCGCAGCTCCCCCTCTGGTTCCCGCACCGCCCCAAAGTCTACGCGGAGCGCACGCAGGCCATGTCCCTCCCGCAGCTCTTCCAGGTCCTCGACGCCATCTTCGGCCACGTCAGGCGCCACGTGGCGGCCATCCATTCGCTGCACTCCGCCGTGGCCTCCCACTTCCGCGTCTCCTCCGTGCCCACGCGCACGCGCGCGTGCTTCGAGGCTTTCTTCGACTTTCTCAGAAGGGAGGCCGAAGAGATCGGGGGAAAGCCCCGGGGGGCGAGGAGTACCCCCCGGGGGGGCGTTTCTCCCTCGGTTGGCACCCCCCCGGGAGCACGACTACCCGCCGCGAAAAGCCCTGGGGAAGCGAACGGGACAACCCCCCGGGGAGGCCCACGACGGCGCGGGCTCAGGAACAGCCCGACCCCGGAGAGGACTCCGGCGGGGGGGTTGTTTTTGCCGTCTCCGGGCCCCCACCCGTCGGAGATGGTGGGCGATTTGGACGAAGATGTGCCCATCCTGGACAATCCCAAGTCGACGATCACCCGGGGGCGGCGGGCGAAGAAGGGCGACCAAATAGCGGGCGGAGCAGGCAAAGCGTCGCCAAAGACGGAGTCAGAAAGTCCCTGGGCCGAAGAGGATGAGCTTGCGAGGGGCGTGAGCCGCTCGTACAAAAGAAGAAGGGAGAGCTCGAGAATTCCGCCCGGGAGTTTCGGAGGAGCCGGGACTCCCGGAAAGAGAACTAGAGTGAAGACCGAAGTGGACGACGCGTTCGCCGGGAGGGCTGAGTCCGACTTGAGCGCGCACTCAAGCACGCCACGTGTCGACGTGCCGTTGGCCATGGCGGAATGCGCTGAAAGCAGGCCGGAGATCCAGTCCAACGGGGTTGGGGTCGAGCATTCCGGCGGAGCGGGACCGGAATTGGGCGGAAAAGGTTGGGATGACGGAGACAGCGAACATAGTTTTGACCAGTTATTGAATAACGTGGACTGGGAGCAGGTAGAGAATGGATTGAGGGCGGAAACGGAGGACGCCGGAAGCGGCGGAATGGATCGGGGCTGACAATTAAGTTGGCGAGATGGTAAAGCTGTAGACTCGGCTGACTGAAGCGCCACATTATAAGCAGGATTGAAAGACTTGCTTTCTGGTTAAAACATGGGCTACGAGATTTTGGCTGCCTGCTTTCATGTGATTTATCACAAACACTTGCTAGGAGGGCCTGTCTAGATGCACACCTTGACATTTATCTGCTGTGTTTGCTTGACACTGATAAGGCGTTAAAGTTTCTCGAGCGGAGAGACTTTGTATAGGGAAGCTGGGTAAGTGTAAGTAGAGTGACGCGAACTCGGGATATCCTGATTTGCTCTCCATATAGGTATTTTCAATCTCTTCGTTCTTTTGCGTTACCTGGATGAGAAGCCCGGCAGAGTCGAAACGATCAGACGCGATTGACCAGAGCCAAACGGATCCAAACCCCGCATAAGGTGCCCATGCGCTTGGAACCCCCGCCGACGAAGCCCGTAATGCATAAGACACTGGTGAGACTTCCAACTCAGGGCAGTAGGATACGAGAGCTGAGATGAAAGACTGCCCGCTTATATTTGACACGTTTCAACATGTACCGTGCCTGATGCACGCTCGGAGGACCACCACCTTACCCTTTGTAAGCCGATGCATGATGGCATGCGTGCTTCTTTCCGTCAATTATCCTGTTTCGAAACTGGCATAATCTAATAATTTTATGTTACACAGGGTATACACGCAACCGTGAAGACGTGGTGTCCTGCAAAGACTTTTGTTGGCCGCCCTCATAACATGGACTTACATGCACCACAGATCTGAATGTACAAAGCATTGCCATGTGCGCTGCGCTCCTCTGCAACCATGCAGAATTGTAAACTTATAAACTTATGTTTCCCTGACGCGCTCAAATCCGGAGATGTTAATCTGCCACCTTCATCAAAACTTCGATGGTGCCTGGTGATCATATCACTTGATCGATGCCGCCCCGAGCGTGCAGGGCGGCAACTTCTAAGCGTCCGGCGATTATTGCATGCCCTGCGCTGGCCCGCCCACCCGGAGAACGGACTCATGTTGAGAAGAGGAAGATTTTAAATTGTCAACAAGGAACTCAAACCGTACCCCGCCTTGCCTATAGGAACTTCATGCGATGCAGTGACTGCAATCATTGATTCGTACGTCAAGACAGTTCAAGTTCGTTGGCATGCAGCACGGAATGGAGGTCGCTTAGAAAGCACCTCGATCACACGCAACGCATGTACTGCACAACTCCGAGCGCACTGAGCAGCGGCAGCGGGCCGGGCAAAACATATCCACAACATGGTTTCGCATTGCCCACACCTATACTATCGTTTTGGACGAGCTTCGAACAAGTGACTCACTGTCAGCGCGCATGTGGTCTGACATTGTCAATAGCATGCGGTATCGATTGCACAACAGACCCGGCGAACTCAATGGCAATGAGGATATTGTACCCATCAAGGACTCGACACATATGCCATATCTCGGTACGTGCCATTTCTGTAGTTTCCGAGTGCCAACATGCTCATGCGACTTAACAGTGCGTGTCGAATGCCCGTTTGTTGACTAAGATTTTAACAACGAGTCGAGTCCACCAAGGATAGCACCATCCGGATGATGGTGTGTTTGGCCAAACACGACGTGCTGACATTGTTCATCGGCTATCGCTCTTCTTACAAAAGTTAGAATCACTGAAGTGGAGGACTCAGGAATCGGACCTTGCCAACATTAAGAGTGCAAATCTACTGAAAGAATGGTTATGTGAAGCAGCATTCTAGCCTTGACCACTTCTTATTTTGCAGCCACTATAAGTGTAGCAGTCCACAAGCTCGGTGTATATGCTCAGACAAGATATACCTAACGTACGGGCCACTCGTTGCCCAACTTGCTTTCAAACTTCCGCACTCGTCTCCATCAAAGACCACTTTCTCAGGCCACCAGAGTAACAACCGCTATCGAACTCAGCACCGCACCCCCAATACCGCACTCGCCCAAATTTCCTTCAAACCTCCACGTTTACCTCCAACACTGGCCACTTTCTCCAAGCAGAGTAATAATTATTTACTTAGCTCGACACCGCACTCACACGTACATTTTAGCTTTTGGTTGGGAACTTTGCTATTGCGGCATAGTGTTTGCCAACCTCAGAATAAACGCCAATGCAACACATGGTATCTGTCCTGAACAGTGCGGCCCCCCCCTTAGATTGATGCTATATCAGGCTTTCCGAGCTATTAATGTTCCAGCTTTGCAACCCGGATGAGCATGCGCACCAATAAAGCCACTCCCTCAAACTGCAACCCTACGCGGCAGTACCGCTGTGGCTTCCATTTCCAATCCGTCCAAGTATGCATCAACGGCTCTTCGGAGCTCAGTATTATGGAGCTCGCCTTGCGATGCGTGCCACTGCGCTTTCAACTCCCGAATGTGAAAGTATTCTCTCCGGGCTTTTTGGAAGACGACATCGAGAACGTGTAGCAACTCCGCCTTCTCCATTTCTTCCCTAATGGTCCAGTACTTGGTTGGGTAAGGAAACCAATCGGGTATCTGAGAAGGGTAATGACGTCAGCCATTTTGTCAACTCGAGGTCCACCGAAAGGAAGCCTTCTGGCTAAAGGGCGTCCAAACAGTGATCTTTGCGTTCACAAGCGCTAGCTAAGAAGCCGTACCACGGTGATGTTAAAGCCCCCTATGAAGTGATTCAGAGAGCTTTCGAACAGGGCCAACGGTTAACGACGAGAGAGCATGAGCAGGTTCGAATGTCGTAATGAATAACACATTTGTTGCCAGCATTTGTTGCCAGGATCAGACACCGTAGCTTGGATCACTCTACCAATGCCGCCAGTACAGTCTTCGTACAGCCTTTACGAGTGTGCTTTCCCTCGCTGCACGCCGCATAGTTGTGAGATTGTGTCCATCAGCATCCGATTCCAATGACCCGCACAGTTGGCTTTTCCCGCACCCAGATAATAACCTGCCACAACTAGATTCTTTCCGTGATTTAGTTCCGCTCACCGTGCTTGGAGCCGGTAACCCTTGGGAGGACGTGATGCGGTTCATCCCCCTCACGAGCGCTTCGACGACGACCGCGAGGTCCGCCCGAAGCTTTGACGGCCCCTCGGACAGTACTACGGACGGGGATGTGCTTTCGGACGGGGACGGAGAGCGGACAAGGCTTCGCAGGACGTTTGAGGCGTTTACTTTTCCGCCGTCGACTGGGGCATCTTGCAATCGGCTGCTTGTGAAAAGAGGATTGCATAAGTAAGCATTGGTTCCGTAGCTCTTCAAAAACCCAAAAACCTGGCTCTTTTGAAGATCAGCTCGTAGAGACGTCGATGGAAAGAAGAGGTTACGTACTAGCAAGCTAGAAGTCTAAGGAGAGTCCGAATGAAGTCAGTCAGTCAAAGAAGCAGCAATTGCCTCAACAAGCAACCGTACAGGTAGGATTCGAGTGGATTCAAACAGCGCTGGCAGTGTCGGATTCGAATGGCAGAGTCAAATGGGTCTGAAGGGGCACGGATTATCCTCATGAAACAAAAAATCCTATCTTCCTTGGCTCGTTCCCTCCACTTGTACTTGATCCAAGCATAACGAGTGCAAACATCAAGCAATCCCTGACGATCCGACTCATTTCGGACACTTTTTGAGAGCAAGAACATCCCGATCAAACAAGGGTTGGAAATGTCACACGATCACCGAGCTTGAAATCTAGTCCTAGGGGGTTCGCCACCCTGGACGATTTTGGCGGATATATAGAGACCCCCGGTTCTCTGAGGACTGCGGTCCGGAACAAGAGAGCAAAAAAGATAATGGAACAAAAGAAGAACCGACCTTGAGATCGCAACCTCTAGGCCCTCGACTAGCGCCTCCGTCACGGGCGTGAGGCGCGGCGAGCACCACACGCGCCTCCCTCCGCTCCCGCCGAACAGCATCCATATGCACCCCTGCGCGCGTTCTGCCTGTGCCAGCTGTTGCAACGCCTCAGTCACGCGGTCGGCGCACTGCTCGACATCCGCCGCTCCTGACTCGGTTTTGACGGCGCTTGGCCGTTCCGTCACACCAGGAAAAGCCTCAAATGCGCCGTTTTCGACGACTTCGGGCCACTTGGATTCATGAGCTCCTTCGACGGTTGCTCCTTCTATGCAAGGGGGGCGGTTGTAGAAACCCGGGACGGTGGAGGCGGCAGCGGGGGCCGAGTAGCTGCTCCAATCGGGCTCCGCAAAAACGGCATCGGTGCGCGCCCGTTTGCGGCGCTCACCCAGTTCGACGTAGTCTCGCGTTGACAGAATGCTTGGAGACCATAGCGCACTTGCTAGTCCCTCTTTGCTCGAGAAAGTTGGAAGGTCGGCGGCCTCTGCAGATGTTTGCCGTGCTGGCAACGCCCTTAAGTCAAGACCCTTTGTTTCTTCTCCGGTCAATGGAACACAAAGCTTCTTCGTGGTACACTCCGGCACTGGTTGGAGGATCGGCAAGGGTCGGTGCACGTTGCTAGCTCGACTTACTTGAAGGGCAGGAAGCCCCGACGCTTGACTTTGATTTCCGCATACACTGAGTCTTGGCGACACTTCCGGGCTTTCAAACTCCCTGCTCGCGTTCGCCAGACTTGCATTGCTCATCAAGACGCCCGTCTCACTTCTGCAAGCCTCGTCTAATAGAAAGTCGAAGTAGGCGTCAAAAACGGCGCGCGTTCCGACGCTGCAAGACCCCGCCTTGAAGTGCGACGCGAGCATGTGCCGGAGCTTCTCGATGCGCACAGCGTTGTTCCGTACTTGATCAAGAACGGCGTCGATGACGAGTGTCAAGTCCCTGATGTTGAGCTGTTGGGTGCGCTCAGCATACTTCTTGGGGCTGTGGGGCCACCACGTGGGGGTCTGCAAGGAGAGCCAAAGTGCTGAGCTGGGGGACTGCTATTAGACGGAAGTACTAACTTCGATGGCAGTGTCGGCCTTTTGAAAGCAAGCTTGGACTGAGCAGGACACGAAAAAGAGTGAGAGACCATAGGCACATGAGCAACAATAGCAGAGACAAAATCATGTCTCCAGGAATTCGAGAAATCAGACGGAAAATTGGAGGGAGGGAGTCCTTGAGGCGATCATTGAAGGGAACAAGACATGGGACGGACTCACTGAAAACAAACAACAGATGCTCAAGAACACGAAATTTCTATCAAACGAAGCAGATTAGTCATGTCAGAGACCAAACAAGCAATTTGAAGGGGACAATGAAGTCCTCGAAGAGAATGCAATCCAAGCAGAGCCAACAAGGAAGGGAAATGGCCTTGCTATAAGATGGATAATCAGCCTAAAGGAATGACAAGGACAAAAATAGCAGCTGCCTGCCTTACATCCTTTCTAGATAGCTAAGCAGGGTGATATTTCTGGCAGGCAGAAAGCAAAAGCACGAAATCTGAACTTAGACAGAAGACCTTGACAGCTCTTGTTGATTGAAATTGTATCAGATCTGTGGAAAGAAGGCCGTGATAGTGGGGTGATTTTCAAAGATCTGCATTCAAGAATTGCTTCCACTGAAACAAGCAAATCTAACAAGAAACTTTTCAGGACCATTCAAACAACCGCTCAACAAAGAGGATCGAAGTTGCTCTAGTGGCCTTACCGAGGAGCTGTCCTTAAGGGCGGTGCTTCGAGAGACCTTGTGGCCATTGAGTTTGTTCAGACTGTCTATCATGACAGCGACGATTGGATGGAGCTCAGCGTGCTTGGTTTTTGCAAGAGCTTCCTCTGCCCTCCTCAGAATGGAAATATTTCCTTCCTCCCAAACAACAATAGGGCTGCAAGAACATGCAAAGCACACAGTCAGGACTAGGTCATGTTGCCATGTCACAAGGCAGAGAAGCTGCAACAAAAGGCCTGGCTTAGGAGCCTTTGATCAGCCAGCGAAACATATAAGGGCTGTCTGGTATCGTGGAGGTAGTCATGAGGACTTCAAAGCTGCAAGAAAACAATGGCTTCAAGAACCTTGTCTGAAAGGAGTGACTAGAAGGTCAGGCCTGAAAGGATCTTGGAAAGCCCCGGATTTAGCAGAGAGAGAACTTCCAAGCGCTGCGTAAGTTCTCAGGCCAGTGCTCGTGTTTGCTTAAAGAGGAAGGATGCAGCTGATTGAAGCAGCAGCCTGTACCTCAGTCATTAAGGAGGGCTGTAACATTGTGAGCATTGATACAAATTAAGAAACACTTCGCAAAACTGCAGGACTTGGGACTCTGCATAATGCAAAGCTGGCTCAGGGATCCCTCATTCGAGGAAAAACGAGCAACGAAACTGAGGCAGAAGTATCCTGTCTTCAGACTCGTTCACATTACAAAGATCAGGCTCCGACCAGCCCTTTCCATCCTGTGACCTTGCCAGATTGCGTACTGCATGGGAGCAAGTTGCCTGACACCAGCCAAGGATAATCTATCCCACAGAATGTCTATTGGATGCAACAATATGTGATCTGCAGCGATTCATGATTGGAATGTTCCTGTTACAGGCAAGTGTGCTGCAAGCCAGCAATTCCAAGTTCTTTCCTGTCCCAAAATGACCCCAGAGAGTGGACAGAATTTGAAGTAGAGGAAGACCACTCTTCAACCCCATTGCACAAACCTCAACTTTGAACTTCACAATCCCATTGACAAAGACCCAGCAATCCATGTCCTACAATTCCTGTCGTCCAGCATGATGCGCACTCTCTCAACAACAGGTGATAGGTACTTCTGGTCAGTCCTGCCAGCCCGGCACCTCCATGAGTAACTCAGTGTACTCCCAAGGATGGATCAGCTACTTCTTTTGCTTACAAGGCTTTTAGAGAGTTTATGCATTATAATCGGAAGATAATATCATGTGGAGCTGAAGCCCCTCTTTGCCAGACTCACTTTGCACGCGCTTTCTCAACTTCATCAACGAAGCCCCTCTCATGCGCCTTTAGATCAGGGGACACGCTCTTAAAGACATGGCCATCCCCAGCTACCACAAAGACGTACGTCTTTGCTCCAGACAATCTTGCGAGGGTCCTGATTGCATTCACCACTACTTGGTGCTGCTCCTGGAGAGTGAGCTCCCCCATATCACAAGGCTGATGCACGCCCTACTAAACTTCAAGCGGTATATGAAGAGTCAGGTGGAAACTCTCTGAAGAGTCAGGTGGAATCTTTCTGCTCGCTAGATGCGAAAACATAGGTCAAGTTGACTTTATGAGTTTGTATTTTGACAGAGAGGGGTTGGACCTCCATTCCAGAACCGGACACTCAACCCTCAAATTGATAAGCTACATGAATGAGCTTCCTCCAAACTGTCACACAAGCTTATTTAGATATCACACAACCTGAACAGATTCCTACTGTTTCCTAAGCATTTTTCAGAAGCAACAAGCCTGGCAATCGAGCTTTCCACAGGAGAACGCAGAAGCCAACGCCTTCTTCCCACCAGCAGAGGAGGCAGCTTCCCTCTTTCTCTTTCGTCCAGTCCCTGCCCCTGCTTGCGACAGCTTCATGTCAACAGAGAAGCACTGCTCCAGAGTCAAAGGACCATTGCAGGGACCATTTTTGGTGCGCGCATGCATTTTCCAGATCTCCCGGTTGATTGTTTGACTGGCATGAGCGGCATTTGCGCCATGGGGAATCCCTGAAGCAGCCCTCCGAGTCCAGTGGCAGGGGACCCCCCGGCCGGGCTGAGAATCTGCTTGACACATGGCATGTTGTCATTTGCTTGCTTTTGACAGCACTCGCTCGCGGGTCGGAGTCGATACCTGGTCAAGTGAAAGCCTAGTCCGAAGGACTGTAGAGGACCGGGTTGCGTATAGTTGGTAACTGGAAGCTTAAGCAGCAACAACAGCCGCTCTCAGAGCCCGGGAGATCAATCCTCTGCAGTAATTGGAGCAATAATGGGAACGCGACGCGGACTCACGCGAGGGATCCCGAAGCTCAAGGCTGCGACACGACAGCTTCTCGTCAGCAACTCATGAGGCACAGCTGCAGACTGCTAACAGTACTGTCAACATCGAGGATAAACGTCAGTGAGCCCCGCAGCTTCTTGAAAGGTGCAGTGCTTCCCGCTTGACAAACGCAGGATTGGTTCGTGACTTGTCAACTGGTGCAAGTACCGTATATAGCGAGCTGTCAATTTGAATCTGAAAAGCTGACTTCGTGTCCGAGCCGAGGACTATTACGAACATGCCATGCTTGGGAAGTTCTTCAAGGTGTCTTTGGGGAAGCCGCCAGGTAAGATCTTATCTTCATGAACATGATTGCCTTGGGGACATCTAGCGAGCTAGCTGCGCCAATCGACTGAACACTTTGCGGCCGAAAAGCTGGATTGCAATCATTGGCTTATACAAGTTGTCATGCTAGGGTATGCAAATGTGAGAGCTTGCGAACATGGAGTTCCTCGCACGTACGTACCAATGGCTATTATGCAGCCAAACACAAAGCTTTACGTACGAGATCATACGCAATGGTTAAGCACACGTCGAGTTAGTGTGCGCAGCTTTGCCCCGCGGCCGACGGTGCTGGAATGATTGAATGGGCTCGTCATCTGATCAGTGCGCATCATGCACACATATCGCGAGGCTACTGCATGATCGACAAAAAGTTCGCATGAGGATGCCAATATGTGAAGAGTCCAAATGTCAATGAACAATGATAACGAGTCCGGTAAGTTCCACATTTAATGGAGGCTGTGCTTTGCATCGTTCTTTCTCACCACCGAGAGAATCCATATATAACTACTGCATATTGAATGCGCACTACTAGTAATTTCGAAACGCGGATCGACAAGTGAAATGCATTATCCGGAACGCATGTCACAACGAATTAAAGCTCGCCGGCCAACAGATCAAGACAGAATCAAAATTGTCAGGCTTTGTTGGATTTCGAGTCCAAATCCTTGTATAAACCAAGCTGTACCCATGTTCTTGATAGCTTTTGCGAAGCAAGCACTTCAATGATATGCCCACTGGTTCGTTGTTCTTATTACGTCATGAGGTCCAGGCGGCATGACAGAAAATCCATTGATAGAAAAAGCAAGCCCCACGCCCGCAGTCACTCTTTCAGCCTTCTATGATATCCAAAAGGTTTGACCGAAGCAGACGAGTTAGAGACATGCAAAGGGTCTATCCTTATTGGTAAACCCAGAATTCCGGTCTACTTAGCGTGCTCTTCTAACTGTGAGTTTGCAGCCCTCGTATGCAATAATGGTCGGGTGGTAGGTTCAAAACAAAGCGAGTCGACTTCAATTCGTTCCTTCGTGTGGAAATGTACAATGTCAGGATGTCAGCGGGATAACTTCTTGTATGGCCACAAACCTTTCTGCGTTTAGCACAGACGAGCGGCCGTTTCACAATCATATTTCTGACGCTAGCTGTACAAAAGGCCTGATCTGCGGAAATTGTTTCAAAAATTGTTTCGAAGAGGGACGTCACCCATCCTTGTCCAGCTCACGTTTGGCCTACGCTGGGCTGACGTGCGCTGACAGTGGGCTACACGTGGAAACCTCAGCTCGTAATGTACATGTATTTGCAACACACTCGGATCGACAGTTCGACTACGAACGTCGAACGGCAAAACCTACAGATTACAAGTACGGCAATGAAGTTTTGTACAGTGTGCAGTCACAGGCATTTCGGGCACAAGCCCAAACCTAACTCGGTGTTGACACCTTCCTTCGATGAAGAGGCAATTCTGCAGACAGGCGTAAAGAGCAGGAAGATTGAGCAGGCAGCACCAAGCCAGCAGTTAACGGATCCCGTCAGGAGAACCGATATGCTCTCTGCACTAGCTCGTATTTCGGCTGCTCATTAATAAGGTGGTTTGTCCTTTTTGACACGTCCCGTCACAGACGGGCGCCTCTCCATTCGAATCAAGTGCGACGCTGGAATACAATCTACCAAGAAAGGCGGGAAATTCTGTCGAAAAATTACGCGACATTTGTCCAGGATCCGCATGACCATCAGATCAAAACAGCCATGAAGCATTGCCTTTGTTCCATGCATACTAAGCAATCACCCCCCGGTCTCAAAGTCACACTTTCAAATCCGAGAACATGACTCTTTAATGGACATCGGAGGGCGAGAAATGATAATCGGCTTACAAATCGCAACTAGAAATGCGTGAGAAGTCTGCCCACGCACTCTCTAGGACCCGTATACGTACGTCAGCAAGGAAAGCGTCTCACCTTAAACGTACATCAGAAGACTGGCGGAAAAGAAACTCACCTCGTCACGAAGTGCTCAGAAACATGCACGGTAGACGAGTGCTGCTCAGCCCCTCATTAAGCACTCCCCTCATTCCCGCTTCCCGCGCCAACGTGTCCTCTCTGGGTCCTTTCTATTTACATCGCCCTCAAACGGACGCAACGCTAAGACCGACCGGGGCGAAACCTCAAAATCAACCGACCCTACCGACTCGCTGCCAGCCTTCTTAAGTGCCGGGGACAATCTTCCCTTATCTCCTCCCTCCTCAATTATCCCAACCTTCGAAACCGCTTTGCTAGCGCTTCCCGGCTCGATCCCGGGAGCTTTGTCCCGGTCGGTTTCCTCTCCTGCAACACAGGCCCCGAGCGACCAGGGCAGGATGCCCCGTGCTGCCTATCCGCCCCGGGACATGACCTCCTTCGTAGCGTCCCGGCAGGTGTGGAAAAGCGCGCCGAGCGCCAGGGTGCTCTCCCGGACGACGGCCGGAATTCCGCTCTGCAGCCCAGCGACTAGGAGCTCCACGCCCCCGCTTTCTACAACGCGCAGCCCCGAGGTCTTTCCCCCCGCCAGGGCGTTCAGGACCATCATCACATAGCGTATGGTCCGATCCACGCTCTTATGGCCGGCGCCCGCGCTCTGGGCGGTCCGAAGGACGTCCAGCAACAGCGCGACGCCGTCGGGGCGGTGCCTTATGATAAGCGCGCGGCTCTCGGGGGCCCACGTGGAGACGTTGACAATCACCCCGACCAGGGGTGCGACTGTGGCCCAGGTTTCCACCCCCTCTTCCGGAACCGAGCCTAGGAGGATCCGAAGAAGGTGCAGAATGGAGTCAAGGCCTGTCGGAAAGTCCTGATGATCCTGCGTTCCGTTCGGCGGCTCCGTTGGCACTTTCGATCCGTCCACGCCGTCCGTTCCGCTGGCCAGCACCCTTTCCGTTCCGTCCAGCTGCGCCGCCGGATCCCCCTTTCCCCGGGCAGACCCCTCCTCCAACTTCACCCGCCGCAACCCCTGTCCCTCGCCCGACGCGCAAATACGCTTTGCCATGCCCTCCGGCTTATGTCCGCTCCTCGTCAGCTGCCACAGGCACGCGACGAGCGGCTGCAGGCGGTCGCTCCGCTCGGATTCCGTCCTCAACAGCGGAAGCAGAACGTCGAGGGCCTCCACATCGACGGCCTCCCGGACGTTCTCGACGAGCCACGCAAGGGCCCGCAGAGCCCCCAATCGGACGCCCAATCTCGCGTCCATTTCCGCCAACAGAACGTCCGTATCAAGCGCCCGGATTTGCGCCGTCTCTGTCACGCCCAGATACACATTCCCAGCACCGTTGACGCTTCGTACGGCGCCCGCTTGATAGGCCCCGGGCGTTTTGGCCTCCGCTTCCCAGTTCCGCTTCGGTTCCGCTTCGGTTCTGCTGCCGGGTTGACCGGCGCCGACGGACGCGTCCGAATGGGCGTCCGGCGTGCTGACGAGGCGGAGAAGAAGCTCGACCACGTGCCTGCCGTGCGATCTGGTGGTGCCACGTGGCGGGCATCCGGCCAGCTGGAAGAAGACGCGCCGCGCGATGACGTGGATCTCGGGCAGAATGTCCTTGCTCACTTCTGGGGCCTGCAACAAAGAGAAAGACTGACTTCGGCTCGCGGCCTCAAATTTGCAAAGATGGGTCTGCAGTTCCTTTGAAGAGACAGCTTTTCAAGCCGTTCCCAATTTCTTGAGGCTCTTAGAAGCATCTCATTTTCGCCTGAGCGTTCGATGCCAGGCAGAATGACGAAAATACCGTTGACGAAACTTGGAAGCTTTCGCAAAATCGGTCCTACATACTGGCACGGTAATCTTTGGTTTCTAATTCAACGGCTCCAGCATTGAGCGTCTACACCAACTTTTCAATATGGTCCTCACCTGTGCGTGAGCGAGCTTGACCAGGCTCTCAATGACGCCAGCACAGCTCAGCGCCTCAGCCGCCAACGTCGGGTCGGCCCCGCAGTAGCTCCCGAGCAAAACGGCCGCCGTCAGTTTCTGCTGTAGGCTGAGGCCGTCCGCGCACAGCGCTTGCACCAGCGCTTGGCGACCGCGTTTGGCGACGGTCTGGGACACCTGTCAAGAGAAAAGTCGCGGTTCTGAGCAAGCTGCACGCGTTAAAGGGCGTTCTCATCACGGTAAAATCCAAGATTCAAGACTTAGGGGGGGACGTTTGAGATTGAAGCCCCCGGCGCACAGCGCTTGCACCAGCGCGCTGCGCCGCTTTGGGCGACGGTCTGGGACACCTGTCAGCAAATAAGGTGCGCTATTCTGAGCGCGGAGAAGGTGCAGAGTTGGCTTTCTGAGCATGGTCAGTCCTCAGAAAGTTCAGGGTCTTGGGGTGATATGTTCAAGGCTCAGGCCATCTGCCCACAGCGCTTGCACCAGCGCGGCGCGGGCGGTCTGGGCGACGGTCTGAAGACATCTGCCAGCAGAGAATGTGCACAGTTCTTAGCGCAATTGGACGCAGATTTGGGTATGGTGGATTCAAAGTTTTCACTTTTCAAAAAGGTGAGTCGGTCGATGCTGAGGCTCTGTGCACGGCGTGCGCACAGCGTCCTGCGCGCGCAGTCCGCAACCCTGGTATAAAAAGAACGCGACAAGTTGAAGAGAAGGTCGCGCAAGGCTGAAGACACGTGTGGCACGCAAACTGCCCTCAGGATTGTTTCCTGTCGGCTTTTGGCATCGCAAACCTAGATCATTGATCAGCCGTTTCAAACATTGTCCAGACCAGGATGCACCTGCGCCTCTCTTGTAACGATTACGACTGGTTAAGCCTAACCTCGTTCTCGACAGGATTTCGTTGACCTGCGGGTTAGCGAAACGGCGGTGGTTACGTCTTAACGACGCACTGCGTGGTT